GACAACTGGGGGTTGTTCTAAATTATGGTCCCTTTTGGGGTACCCTTTATAATAAGGACTATACTACTATAGGGCCCGAAAAGGGACCATAATTTAGAACAGCCCCCAACTCCAGCTGAGGTACGTCTAACCCCAATTACAATATCCTCGAAGATCTAGTGCACATGCCTGAACATGTTTCAATCGCATTCCTTGCTATGTCCCAGACTATTCTAATGACTGAAGCTCTTTTATCGTAGCACCTTTGTAAAGCAAACCACAAAACCTTTAAAGAATCCTATACAACCAATATTAAAAACCTACGAAACCCAAAGAACCCCTACGAAAGGCTCGTAAAACCCACGTAGATACCCCAGTAACCGCCCTACAGTACGACGACCCCTGGACCCTCGACACCCTATAACCCTACAACACTCAACCCTTTTAATGAATCCCTCAAGAAGACCCGTGTCTTGATTCTGCAAAGCACAGCTGGGGTGCCGAACTTTCAACGGCTGCAAGGCGAACATCCGCCACTTCGTCCTTGTGGTCTGGATTTGGTTCTCAGGGTTTTGGGGTTTGTAGGGTTCAGGGTTCAGCATTTATGGTTTAGGATTCGGGCGGTTCAAGTTCAGGGCTTGTAGTATACATGTTTCCCACTGAGCATGCCAGATTTTGCACGTAGAATTTAAGTTCCCTTTAAGGTGCCTCGTTGACTCGAGGGTACAGTATCTGTTTGCAGCCCCAATGTGGTGTTAGTATTTGGGGCTCAGTGGGTATCATCGTCGATGTAGACCCCCTCTGCTTTAGTGTCGATCTTGATCCGTATGAAAGGGAGGCTCGGGTGTCTTTAATCAGGTGTCTAGATCGTCTCCAGTGTTGCTTGTAGAAGATGGAAAGGCTTGATCATACGGATTCCTGATTCTTGCTTCCATAATGAAGATACGTTCCTCGAAGCCCGAATATGAAAACGGATGGAAGACACAGAATGTGCTTCTCTCGATTGGACCCCGGCGTGAAAATGCAAAAACCCCGAAGACCTGAACAGTGCACAGAAGCTGCACCCGAACACACCGAGAGCCTACGCCACCATTCAACAAGCATTGAACAAACTAAGCAACCACTAAGACATGTAAGATCGATAAAAATGATTGAACAGTCTTCTTTTCTACAGAATGCAACAACTCCGATCACGATTTCCCTCTGATCCTGCCTGCATCAAGGGCATTAGCACTTCGATGGCTGGTTTGCAGCCTTTGCCTGGCTTCGGACTTTCACATAGAGGTCTGAACCCTGAAGGCTACGCCCTCGGGTCTTCATGAAAAAGACGCCTGCAAGAATAGTCCCACCATCCTTTCAATTCCTACATGATGAAGCTACTATATAACACCCCAAAACCTACTGAGGCCTATACTATACTTAGAACCCTAGCAAAAACTATACTTTTTGCTGTTTCTTTGGGATTATAATAACCAAGAGTTAAAAAATATTTCTAAGTGCCCCTAAGTTCAACCCACCCCCCAAACGAGAAGCTTCAACCACACACTAGTCGTAAATGTCTTGAAACCTACTGCTACTATGTCTTAAGTCTTAAGTGACGAGTTCATAAGCGCAAAAAAATTGAATTTTCAGCTTGCACTGGGCTTCTGTTTCCACAAAAAGTTCTTCAAGTTTGTAAATTCAACTGCTATGAAGTTTCCGGAGCCGCTGAGTTCAACCCCGGGTCCTGAACCCTAAACCTACCTTGAGCCGGAATAACATACCTCTTTAAGGACTTATATAAGGAAATCATAACAAGGAACCCCAAAAAGGTAGGTTATTCCGGCTTAAGGTACGGTTGATGATGTAAATCCTGCATTACCCATAATATGGAATATACCATTATTCCCATAGTCTATAGGGTCCTTAAGGTAATGCAGGATTTACATCATCAGCCGTAGGTCGCCCAGCCTGCGACGCGCTGCAAGGCGCGGATGGCGATTTTCCTGATCGCGGGATCCTCGCGAACTCTTGCTGCCCATCATGTGTTCGGTTTAGGGTTTAGGGGTTTGGGGGTTTATGGTTACACCTTAAGGGTTCAAAGGTTCTGGATTTAAACAGCCCTCCCAAAAAAAGAAGGTAGTGCGTATGTGTGTGTGCGCGCGAGAGAGGTAGAAGTGCAGATAGATGATGGTTGCCAAGTTACTACTGGCTGTACCCAGGAATTCTTGCAACAGCTTTCCTACAAGTTCTCCAGACTGCATATAGGGTTACCCTTCAGGTATTCGGAGGCCTCACAAGGTGGGATGAAGGTAGGTGGGATTAAGGCTCTCTTATATAAGGACTCTTATTTGGGAATATCCCACCTACCTTCATCCCACCTTTTGAGGCCCCCGAGGTATTTCAAACTCCCCACACACAACCCGAAAGCGGAAGCCGGAGGATCCGACTTCGAACCACGAGCTGTTGATGGGAGGCCAGAAGGGGGGTTTAAGATTCTATTATGGGAACCCTAATCCCTACTAAACCACCATTAAAACCCCTTTTGGCCTCCTATGAGCTGTGCCGGAAGCTGTTTTGATTTTGAGCTCGCGTCCCGCAGTTCCAAGTGATAAGGCTTTCGCATACGGAGGGCACCCTGCAATACCTCGAAATCCGACATCCCTCCGATCCCCACTCCGCTTGCTTCGCTCCTTGCCAACATCTTGGGGTTCAGAGGTTTAGGGGTTTAGGGTTTGGGGTTTAGGGTTTCAGGTTTAGGGCTTACGGTTTAGGGGTTTAGGGTTTAGGGTTTAAGGTTTAGGGTGTAAGGTTTAAGGTTTAGGGTTTAGGGGTTTAGGGTTTGGGCTTTACCCTGAACCCTGATTTTCTCCGGCAGTCACGCTGCGGTCTATAGGCAGTCTGGGCCAAAGCTTGCCCGAAGGATCCAGCCCCAAACACAGGGACGCGTGGGAAGTCGAGGTAGCTGTGGTAGTGGCAGTTGTAGTGGTGGTTGTAGCGGTGGTGGTAGTAGCCATAGTGGTAGTAGTTGCAATACTAGTAGTCGTCGTCGTGGTCGTCGTCGTCGTCGCAATTGTGGTAGTTGTAGTAGTACTAGTTGTAGTACCAGTCGCAATGGTAGTAGTAGTAGTAGTAGTAGCAGTAGCAGTAGCAGCAGTAGCAGCAGCAGCAGCGGTAGTACTAGCATAAGTACTGGTAGCAGGAGTAGCAAAAGGTAGCAGCAGCAGGGTCAGGAACAGTAGTTGCAGCAGTAGGAGTAGGAGCTGCAACAGCAGCAGCTGTAGCAGTAGCTGTAGCAGTAGTCACATCTATTCGTAATATTCTTATTATGGTTAGTCGTCGTCGTGTAGTTCTCGATTAGCAGCTGCTTCAGCAGCAAGTCGTATAGAAATTGCGGTAGTTTTCGCCGCTGTCGTAGTCACGGCCCTGGTTGTAATGTTTAATGCTGTCGTAGCGCCGACCGCGGCAAAAGCGGTCGCTGCTGTCGTCACAGCTTTAGCAGCATTAAAGTGGAGTTGCAGCAGTGTGAGAGATAACCGAAGTAGTGGCGATCGTGAAGTGATGCATCGCTTTGTGGTTGCGTTTAGCAAAACGAGCAGCGCTGTCGCAGGAGTAGCAGTCGCAGTTCTCACCATGATGTCTTGACTGGAAAGATGCAGAGTAGCAAGAGAGAGCGGCACGGTTCGCTGTCGCCGTTGGCGTAACAAGTACATTTCAGTAGCAGTCATTGTCATCTTCTTGTCGCGGAGTGGTGCTCCCCAAACTCGCGCTTGGAGCCTAAACTTAAACACAAGTCCCCACACCATCCTTGCTTGTCCAGTATCCTAGAGGAACTAACAGTTTCAATTAGCCGATTGGAAGTATATAGGGGTTGTGCGGTTGATGATAAAAATCCTGCATTACCTTGAGGACCCTAAACTATGGGAATCATAGTACATTCCTTATTATGGGTAATGCAGGATTTGTATCATCAACCGTAGTGCCCCAGAAAAGTAAAGGGTTGCATAGTCTACTAGACAACTCTTGTACTATCCTTAAGGGAGGGGGGTCCAAGGGGGGGTAAATAGCCTAGTGATCCCTAATTCTCCCTAGTACTCCCTAAGGTTCCCTTACAGTCCCCTAAGGATTCCTTATACCCTCCCCCCTTGAACCACCCTCCCTTAAGGACCCTATAAAACTCGGAGGGCCATTACTCTGAACTCGAAACCTTTCACCTACTTGTCGGGTATCATTTAGAAGCTGCCCCCACTCTGTAATAGTGAACATAAGGATTATATAGGATTATATTAGGGCCCTAGTATATTCCTATTATACCACTATTACAGGGTGGGGGCAGCTTCTAAGGTATCATGGGGAACTAAAGGATAACCTTCTTGGTTATATAGGGATTATATGAGCGGTTGTCAAAGGTATGGTCTCTTTTGGGGTGCCCTAAAGATTAGGTGCCGTACTATAATAGGGGCCCAAAAAGGGACCACAAAATTTGACAACCACCCATATAGGGACTATACTCCCCAAAAAAGGTTAGAGGTTCCCTGCTCTCCCATGCCCTAAACCCCTAAACCCTAAACTGTATCATCACACCCTTATAGTAACACTTATAGACCCTTTGTAGGAACTCTTTAAAGGAGCCCTATTCCCTAATAGTACTTGAATACTTGGATCCCCTGGGGTCAGCAGCAGGGCCTCTCCGGCTCCAGAGACATGGAATCCACATTATGCACAGATTGTGGTATCCGGCTGGCACAATACCCACGAAGATTTTGTGAACTGTGAACAGCATAACCTCTAAAACACAGCAAAGCCCCATAACGCTCTACAGATTCTAATCCGTCTAACCCTTATGAGCTCGAAGACCCTTTAAACCCTAGCAACCTAAAGCCAACTGAATCGCCCTGAATCCCTATAAACCCTAGAAGCCCCAAAACCCCACGTTCATTTTCCTACTGCTCGACATTACTGAGGAGATACCAAAATAGACTTGGCAAAAGGATACTTCAGGGAGACCTAGCTACTAAGGATTCACACGGCATCATCGCAGCTCAAGCCAAGATCGCCAAGGCCGCAGCAGCAGCTGACTGCTCGGCATCCTGGTATAGCTTGTGTTCTATACCACCCTTAGAATCATAATAAAAATGCTATTCTCTTGGGTTTTATATGAACAAAAATAAAAAAATAATTAATAAGGAGACTGTAGTGTTGTTGCTACAGATGAAGGTGGTTGTCGAAATTACGGTCCCTTTTTGGGGTCCCTATTAGAATACAGCACCTTTTTGTTTAGGGTACCCGAAAAAGGACCATAATTTTGACAACTACCCAGATGAGGTTTTGGGGTTTCAGGGTTTGGATCTCTCTGGTCCCTGCTTCTCTTAGTTGCTGATTTCATAGGCCCCCAAAAGTGTACACTTTTGGCTTTATAGTGGGTAAGATTATCCCAACAAGTGTAAAGTGTATTTACTCAGCTACTAAGTTCTAACCCTACTATGAGGTTGGGGGTTCAGAGTTTTGGGTGGAAGGAAATCTTTGTTCAAGCCTAGTCACGTCTTTTATGGCAAGGCATTTCGGGGATTAGAGCTTGAAGTTTTGTGATTAAATATGACGTTCAGGGCTTCAGGGTTCTAGTGTTTTGCTTTGGGGGGATTAATTAAAGGGTTTAGGTTTAGGTCTTCGGGCATCATAGGGTTTTGGGTTTTGCTTGGCTTGCCGTTGTGCGTTTCAACCTTTCATGTTGAACTGGCTGTAGTGGCCCAAGGATTTCCCGGCGGCGTGAATAGAGTGCTTCATGGGTGAGGGGTGCTGTCGAGGCCTCCTAAAGTAAGGTTTTCTCCATCATCTAACTACTCAGTTAAAAAAATCAGGGTTTAGGGATTAATCGTGGCTCCACTGTCCTATGGTGGACTTCTATAGGTTTCGGGGGCTCAGCTTGAGCAACTAGGGGTTCTGGACCGCGCAAACCCCTGCGAAGCTGTCCCATGCACCTTCTAAAAGCGTGCAAAGCCCTTTCGGCACCTACACACCCTCAAGAAAGCCCAACAGAAACTAAGCTCAACCCTAAACCCTGAATCCTAGGCCTTAACCTATAATTAACTCCTGGACCCTAAACCCTTATAGTACCCTTTTAGATCCCGTTTAAAGGAAAACTGTAGGATCCCTTCGAAAGGGGCTACTCAGGAACCTAAGCCACACTCCCATGCACCTTGTCCTTTTAGAAACAATAGACAGAGCCCTATACCTATATCCCTTAATAGGAATTATTTAAGAAGGACTACTAGCCGGTCTGTTTAGTCTTTTGGGGGAACCATGAAAAAGGACAAGGCTGCTCCCATGTCCTTCTTCTTGGGGTGCGCTGTGCCTTTGACCTCCAAGCCAGTCTTGAGCAGCTGTACCTTTCTATAGTGAACTTAGAACCTTAGCAAAAAATAATTTTAGCTGTTTCTTGAGTGTTACAATAACCAAAAATTAATTTTAGCTGTTTCTTAGGGAATATAATAACCAAAAAATAAAAACATATTTCTAAGTACCCCTAAGCTTTCAGCCAGAGTTTCGGAGCCAGTCTGGCTCTGGGGTTTAGGGGTTTAGGGGTTTTTGTGTTTAGGGTTTTAGGGGTTAGAGGTTCAAGGGTTTAGGGGTGTAGGGTTTGGGGTTTTAGGGTTTAGAGGTTCAAGGGTTTAGGGGTTTAGGGGTGTAGGGGTGTAAGGTTGAGGGGGTTTCGGGGTGAAGGGTTAAGGTGTGTAAACCTACAGTCTCGATCTGTGTTCGGCCTGCGCCAAGAAAGCCAAGCAATGCTGAACGTTCAGGGCTTTGGGGCTGCAGTCTCAGGGCTTTCCCCTTTCTAAACCTTAAACCTTAGACCTGAACTTGAGATGCTAAACCCTAAACCCTAAGCCCTAAACCCTAAACCCTAGCCCCTAAACCCTAAGCCCTACACCCTAAACCCCTAAACCCTAAACCATGTCCCTTGAAGCCTCGTGGGCAAAAGAGATGACCATGGGGCCTATGCTATATGGGTGGTTGTCAAATTAGGGTCCCTTTTTGGGTCCTCACTATACTGCGGCACCTATAATTTAGGATACCCAAAAAGGCACTTTAGTTTGACAACCACCCATATGAGGGTTTCCGAAACCAGCGGGCCCTTATACAGTACCCTAAATACTAGGAGCCTCATTTCAAGGACCCCAACATAAGGTACCCTAATTTTCGGAAACTCCCGCATAGGTCGGTGGTTTCTTTACTTTGGGCTTCTGCTTTAAAGGGGCTGTATACAGGGATCCTTATTGGGGCTATATTAGGCAGTATTCGGAACAGGTAAAGAGACCACCACTCTAGGGCTGTGCCGTTTCTGGTAAGGGGGGTATGTACCTGGAGGGTCAGCGGACTTACTTAGCTGGGGTGTTCAAGTGTTAAACGGTTTAGTTACCTTGCTTATAACTCTAGCTACCTGCCTGATCCTTCAAAGGAGCCTGAACCCAAAGCCCTACAGAACTTGTGCGCGTGCCCGTAAACGACCCAAACCCGAAACGCAAAACCCCAATCCGCCGAATCCCCCGCTCCTCCCCTCCTCCGGCCTGAACAATTAAACATTACCCCCCTAGGTGCTGAGTTCATAGGCCCCCCAAAAGTGCACACTTTTAGTTTTATAGTGGCTGGTATTATCCCAAAAAATGTAAAGTTTATCCACTCAGATACTCAGCCCCGTTATTGCCCCTAAGATAATCGTAGTATGGCAGACCCCCAAACCCTCGTTATTCTCATTCTCAAGGCGCCGTGGCCACGAAGCCCAGTGAGGTGGTTTCACTGTCATACTTCAGCAACTCTGGCGCCGGCTGGCGCCACCTATGTCAGGGTTGTAGTTTTGGGGCTCTGAGAAGTATTTATGAATCGGTACCTCTATAGGAAATTAAAAAGTTTCCCAAATTGCCACCTAGATGTTGAAGATTTAGGATTTAGGCTTGAGGGTTTCGGGTTTAGAGCTCAGGTTGTAGGGCTTCAGCGTTATGGTCTTGCAGTGCTCTGTAGGAGTGAATGTACATATTTAGGGTTGAGGGTTTAGGGCGCTTAGCTGTTACTAATTACGAGTTTTAGGGTGAAGCCCGGACAGTTGCATAGACAAGTCGGCCAAGTCTTCGCCCGAGTCTGCACCCGGGATCCCTCGACCCCACACCCCAAGTCACCCCAACGAACTTGCAGCCAAAGCCTATTTATGATCATATTAAACCAATACTATTAGTATGAATACTATCAGTATTAATACTTAAACTGATATTCGTACTAATCTTGTCAGTATCAAATTAGCAGTAATATTGAGATAAGTATTAATATTGATATTCGTATCAATAAACAAACTCGCAGCCAAAGCGCTTTTTCGTCGCCCACTCATTCAGCCGACTCTTGAAATTCTCCTCCAGCAACGCCGCCGGGGCCGCAGGTGTCGCAGGGGCAGGGCTCGGAGACGGCGTTGCCTGGGCTCTAGATAACGTGATCTATCTACTATCATAGCTGACACGGTTTTTATCTTTTTGATGATGACAACTTCTTACTTATTTCCGATGGGTTCTTGATAACCCAATTTAGGGTTTACGGTTTGCTGGCCTACGGGCTTAAGGGCTCAGGCGGCTGGGTGTCCAGGGCTTAGTCTAACCAGATGCCAGGAAGAAGGAAAGCACACTAATTGCTAGACACTATGCGACCATCTTAATTCTCTAAGGCTCCATTTTTTAGTTCTCTAAGGCTCCATGCACCCATATAGTATACACGTAGGCCTAGAAGTACCTATCTAGGATCCCCTTAAGGCCTAAGCATTTGCTATATCGGCACATTCACATGGACCCTAAACCCTAAACCCTAAACCCCTAAACCCTAAACCGTGGAGCCTGAGGCGTTAGGGGAAGACCGAGTTTCTGCGGGGAAAAGGAGGGACCCTTAATGGGGACCCCTACCCTATGATGGGCTATATAATGGGTATATAATCGCTATATTAAGGGTATATACCTAGGGGTCCTTATTAAGGGTCCCTCCTTTTACCCTTGGAGAGTTGCCGAGGTCTGCGCTGGGGCCGGCTTGCCATAGCTGGCGGTACTCAGCCGAAGGCCTGCGATCCGAGAAAGAAGTGGCGGTAACATCATATATGGGCCTGAATAATTAGAATAGGGTTCCGTTAATGGTTCCTTAAAGGGCTCCTTAAAGGGGTCTAAAAGGGATCTATAGTAAGGTTCTATGATATAGGGGCCTTAATAATTAGAATCGAGTTCCTTTAAAAGGGGGCTACCATAAGGGATCTATACTTTAAGGGGTCTATAAGGGGATCTATAGTAGGGGTCTATGATATAGGGGCCTTAATAATTAGAAGAGGGTTTTGGAGCCCATTATACTATAATTATGAAAAGGAACACCAAAATAGTGTTGGTAATTATGATTTAGGCCCCTATAGTATGCCCTTGAATGGTGAGAGGAGGGCTCCTGTAGGGGTGCCTCTAAGGGGGTTTTAGGGTTCCTTTCAAGGGCTTTAGGGTTCCTTTAAGGGTTCCGGTTATAGAGGATTGCCATACGGGTCTAGTGAGGGAGCCTTAATGACTACTAAAGGGTTTCGTTTGGATTTGTTGGTCCTATTTGCTGACTTACAGAGGGGCCTGACTACGGAATCAGATTCCGGCTTTGCAGTGCTGGGGGTTTCCCCACTACAAACACATTCGCGAACCCGACTCGACACCATTGCTGATTCTGCGGGCTCCCAGGTAAGTTAGGGTTGAAAAACTTAGAGCCTTGCTGAAACCTGAAACCCAACAAAAACCTGAAGCCGGAGTTCAAGGTGCCTGGATTCATTGTGAAAGCCTCGCAAGCGAGCTTGTTGCCATGGACGGCCTTGCCGAAGAATGCGGTTCAGGGCTTAGGGTATAGGATTTTAGGGGTTCGGGTTTAGGGTTGTAGGTGTCTGTGTGTGTTTTTAAGGGCCGTTTTCCGACTGCAGATAGGTTTAGGGTTGAGGGCTTAAACCCCAAAGCCTCAACTGCATCGACTGCCGCTGCACATCACTGACATGAAACCCGCGGGGCCTCGACCATCACAAGAGCTGAACAAAGGGATCGGAGAAGCATTTCAACCCTAGGGCTAGGGTTTAGGGTTGCCAGGGTTTCTCGGGTTTCTAGCTTATAAGGTTTAGGGTTTTAAGCGTTTCTAGGTCTTCTAGGGTTTCTAGGGTTTCTAGGGCTGCTAGGGTTTCTAGAGGTTTCAAGGGTATAGGGTTAAGCCTAAGCCCTATGCCCAGGCAATACTTTGCAGAGTTTATGTGCTTCCAGGTTTCGTCTACGTACCCGGTAGGCCCAGCCCAGTCCCAAACCCTAAGCCCCCGAAAGCCCAAAACTCGTAGCCATAAACCTCAAAACCCCTAAACTCCTAAACCTCAAAACCCCTAAACTCCTAAACCTCAAAACCCCTAAACTCCTAAACCTCAAAACCCCTAAACTCCTAAACCTCAAAACTCTAGCCATCAACCTCAAAACTCCTAAACTCCTACACCCGAAACTCAAAGGGCCTTTTCCCACCAGTCCCAGACCTCAAAGCACTGGACTATCCTAATTCCTTGTTCTAAATATTACTATACCCCCTTAGAACCCTAATGAAAATGATACTTTTAAACATTCTCTTGTGTTTTATATGATCAAAAACAAAAAACAATTCATAAGGAGACGAGTTCTAGAACTTCTTCGAACAAGTCTGGGGTTTGGGTCTCAGGGCTTAGGGTTTAAGCGGGCTTAGGGCGCCAAGGGCTCTTAAAGCTCTTGGGGTTTAGGGCCACTCTGAGCCCTAAAGCCGAAATTACCCTGCAGCCCACATGCTAGGCTGCAAATCCTAAAAACTGAAAACTAAACCCGAGGTTCCTGTTGAGTCGCTTGGTGGTCCTTGCTTGGCCAGTATACTAGGGGTTTACCTTTGGGAGCTTGTAGTGGGGATCATACCCCCTAAACCTCTGATTGAGCAAAGGTTACCCATCTAAACCCTACATCCCCCAAACCCTAAACCCAAAGCCCTAACACCCTGAATCCCCCAAATCCAATCCTAAATCCCAAACCCTGTACCCAAAGCCCTACGTACCCTGAATCCCCGACATCCCTAAACTTCTCGAAAAATGTCACTTTACTCCTACTTGGATGGTCGGGGGACTTAGTAACTGGTTATTTTAGGGACTTATAAGTACCATAACCCCAATTAGGGTCCCTTTTAGGGTACTTATAAGTCTACTTACTACCTACTTACTAAGTCCCCCGACCCTCCATGTACGGGGTCTCCTTGTGTTGCCGGGGCCCACCTTGCCGGAGGGCTGGTTGTTGCCTCAGTGGATGCCCACTTTAAACTGAAACTGGGGTTTGTGGCATCTAGCAATCTAGCGCTTAGGATTCTGGATGTGGGGCTTAGGCTAGGATTTTAGGCTAGATTTGGGCTTTCGTGTTGGGTTCAGCGCCTTGGATTCAGGGTTTGGGGCTTAGGATTCGGAGTCTAGGTGCTTTTCTTTGACTACTAGGATGCCCAGTAACCTAGGAAAAAAAGGGCTCCCTTTTTGGTATTGGGCCACCGTGTAAGGAACCTGGGACTACAAAAAGGGAATAAGGGTACTACTGGGCATCCTAGCCCCTAATTTTCGGAAACCCTAAACCCTTTATATCCCTTTATAGAACCCTTATAGATCCCTTTAAGGAACCCTTATAGATCCCTTTAAAAAGGGAATAAGGGTACTACTGGGCATCCTATAGGCTATGAATCGTGCAGGCTTCTTTGTTGGCCCCCGCTCCGCAGCTCCCCCGACCTTCGGTGTGGAGCTTAAAGCTGTTCGTGCTGCATCTGGGAGTTTCCGAAAATGAGGGGGCCTTACTTTCGGGTCCTCATAATAAGGATCCTATGACTTAGGGTACTATAATATTAGGGGTCCCCTATTTTCGGAAACTCCCATCTAGGATTAAGGGGTGGGTGCCTAGTAGGATGCTGAGTCGGCCACGACGATTACGCCAGACATGGTCTAGGGTGTAGGGTTTAGGGGTGGCAACCGGTGGTCCTGAGCTGCTCTTCTTGCTAGGGTCTTGGGGTTTTTAAAGAGTTTCAGAGAATAGGGAACCGTAATACGGTAGCCTAATTGAGTAGGAGGATCCTGATTTATGATAAGGGCCCAAAAATGAAGTAAAGTTTTTCGGAAACTCCGTATTGAGCAGACACGGCACCATCCAGAAGCCCGCGCTCATGCATCTCGATCGCGACGACATACAGAAATCGCCGCTTGTCCTTGTCGTCCTGCTTCCTGGGATCTTGTAGCGGGAATTTAACTGAAGCTAACATATCATGCAGCGTAAATGGTGGTTCATGCGAATTCGAAAGTTGACTCGAAAGAGAGCCGGGTGTCGATTTCAACGGTCCCCAAAACTCTTTATAATTAGCGCTCTATATTCAACCATCGGGGAAAGTAAAAATTATCCCGAATCGATACCTAGTATCAGGGCTCTATACTGAACAATACGGTATACGGCAACTTAGAAAAATTATCCCAAATCGATAACCCTAGTCAAAAGGGACCAGAGCCTGGCTTCATGTTCTAATTACCCCTTTTCTAGGTGGGGCTTTTAAAGCCTTTGGAAAAAATTAGTAAATAAGATCCTCTTAAGCCCAGTAAGGGAAAATATGAAATGTCCCAAAGCCCTACCTAGTTTTTGCATCCAGGCCTCTTGAAGTCTTGCCGGGGAACGGCGAATGCGGTAGCACCCGTGGCTTCTAATTACCCCTAAACCCAAAAACCCAAAAACCGTGGTAACAGAGCCTGGCTTCATGTTCCAAATCGATATCTATAGTATTGGGGGCTCTACATAAAATCACCCCTCCGCCCTAAACCCTAAAACGCTAGTAAACCAGAGCCCATCTTCATGTTCATGGCTGGCGTAGGATTAAGAATTGATATTTGAATGTTTGTCATAAAATTATGGTCCTTTTTGGGCGTCTTATTATTATAGTACGGCACCTAATATTTAGGGTACCCAAAAAGGGACCATAAGGTTGACCATCACCCATGTGTATTCCTTATTGGGTTTAAGTACCCATAAAAATGAAAAAATGTTACCCAACTATGGCAGCGGCTTCATGTTCTATACTTATAGTCAATAACAACCCCATTTAAGGTACTTATAACCTTACTTACTGAGTCCCATGACCCTCCAAGTAGTAAACCGGAGCCTGGCTTCATGTTCTTGCTTCGATACAGAGTATTGGGGCTCGGATATATTACATGACCCCTACCCCTAAACCCTAAACCCTAAAACCCTAAACCCCAAACCCTACAACCCTAACACCCTAGTAAGCTGGAGCCTGGCTTCATGTTCTAATTACCCCTAAACCAAACTATGCGAATAATGGTACATTCCTTATCATGGGTAATGCAGGATTTGTATCATCAACCCTCGTAAATCGGAGCCTGGCTTCATGTTCTTGCTTCGATTCGGATCCAGCACCGTCTCCAGCTTTGTGTCGCCCCAACGGCCGTTCCTTACGTAGTTGCTGAATTCATGAGCACCCCCCCCCCGCCAAAAGAAAAAAAATAAAGAGTAAACTTTCAGTTTTATAGCGGATACTTTATTACCCCACCAAAAAACTGTAGACGTTCAGGTTTGTAAGGGATACGAATAGACCAAAAAGTGGACACTCTACCCGGTCAGCTACTAAGGTTCACCTTCTCCAAGGTCACCTTCAGAAAGCCGTCGGGCGAGGGGTACTTCACCTCCGTGATAAACTTCCGGACCTGTCGCGGGTAGTCGCATATCACCTCGGCTGCACTTCTGCAGGGCTTGAGGGGCTACGGTTAATGTAATTTATTAGGGTTCCTTAAATGAACCCTACTATTTCGAGGTTATAGGCCCAGGGTTTCTTAATCAGGTTCCTATGGCTTCGGAAGCAGGGGCTTCACAAACAAGCCCCTCTCCGAAAACCGAATGACTGTGCCGTTGCCTTGCAGAACAGGTTGCCCGAAACACGCGGTAAACCCGAAAGCCTGAACCCTAAACCCTGAACGTTAACCCCTAAACCCTAAAACCCAAACCCTAAACCCTGAACCGGCAGTCAAGCCGCCTTCTCATCGTAGGTAAAGAGATCTTCTGGATTTAACGACTGGCCCATCGTCTTGGCGCAATACTCGTACCTGTCAGTGGTGTATGGCACAAGGTGTGACAGGCATGCAACAAACTGCATATGATCTAGGGGCCTTAACTTAATAATTAGAATACGGTTGGGGGTATATTATACTGTAACTAGAGTTAATGAGGAACCCCCCAAAATAGTATAGGTAATTATTAGCTGAATTATGAAGGCCCTGTAGTAGTAGGGTTTAGTGTCTGGAGCAGTAGGGCCCCAAAGCCTTCGAAGAGGGTGGTGGGGCGTCCTGCTCTGCGACCTATACTTTTAGGGTTAGGGGTTTAGGGTGTAGGGATTAGGGTTTAGGATGTAGGGTTTGGGGTGTAGGGTTTAGGGTGTAGGGTGGTGTCAAGGTGTGGCACTACCGCGATGTGCCCGGGCTTCTCGCTAATCATGCTATAGCTAACTCATGTCTCTGGGGAGGAGTGCCGTCACCGGCAATGAGATTCCGCGTTGTTGCAAGCATAGCTGTGCATTTCAATCAGGGACACTCGAGATGTCCAGCCTGCACTAGAGTCACTCGAGGGCGCCAAGACAAAAACCGATCCCAACATGCATGAAGTCCCAACTGTGAACCCTGGTCTCAGCGCAGGAGCTTGAAAACCTTTCGCCCATGACTCCATGTGGGTAGTTCTCCGAACTAGGGCCCCTCTGTGTAGGAACCCAAATGCAGCCGTATGTCGCGGTTTTCTGTATGACAAGCACCCTAGAAGGGGTCCTAATTTAGAGATCTACCACTACCCATGTACGAGCCGACGAGAACCTCGCTAGAATCCGGAACCTGGAGAACAGCACCATAGGGTGAACTCCTGCTCTTACTCATGTCCAAACACCGGCAGTGCGGTAAGCTTTCCGAACCCGAATCCCAAATTAAATACTGAACCCTATACCCACACCACCGGGAGGATCCAAAAAGTATATCCCTTAATGGGGGTTCCTATAAAGAACCCTTAGTAGTACAGGGCCCCAAATTAGGGGATCTACTTTGTAGATCCTCCCGGGGGTCTGGGTAGTCGTTCTCAAACCCTGAATCCTACATCTGAGGAGCATTCAGTCGAGGTCTGCGACTTCTGAGGCTAGGGCTCGGGGCTATTATGCCAACGTAGGGGCCTTAAGACCTAGAAGAGGGGCTTTGGGGTATAACTTATAGTATAATGATAAGAACCTAGAAGCAACTGCTCTGAGGAATGATATTAGCATTATTTAGGCTTCCATGTTAGGTATTTGGGTGGTTGTCAAAACTATGGTCTCTTTTTGGGTCCTGAATAAAATGCGGCACCTTACATTTAAGGTACCCAAAAAGGGACCCTAATTTTGACAACTACCTATTTGGAGAAGCACTGTTTGCAGGATCCGGCCTGGGTCTATGTGCGCAGGGCTTGGCATTCGGGGCTCAGGGTTTAGGGTTTAGGGTTTGGGGTTCGCGGCTTGGGGTTTATGGTTTAGGGTTTGGGGTTTAGGATTTAGGGTTCAGGGTTTAGGGTTCGGGCGCAGCCAAGTTGCACCATTTGCAGGCAATTGTAAAGGTTCACCTTCCAGCAAGTCCAAACCTAGAGGCTCCTGAAATACTACCATGACTAAGTACCAAAAGACCATTCTTATTGTGGTTTTAGGGCCTATCCATAATGGTGGTATATGTGGAGCCTCTGGAAAGAAAAACATCTCGCCCGGAATCCCAGCACAACACGTTTTATGAACGAGAACTTTCACCCTTAAGCTTAGGGCAACATGCGTCAGAGCAAAATGAAGGGCTTCGAGCACAGACAACTCTTCCTCCGTTCAAGGGCTTTAACACAAGAATACCCGATGCATAAACGACGACACGCGCACACACACACACACACACATATCAAACAAATTAACTTAGCCCTCACTCCTGAACCAACACGAGAATAACCTCCATGACACATCCGACAGCTTTGGTGCATAAGGACCCTCAGCCTTTATCAGTTGCTTGTCAGGGGTGGTGAAGCCCCCTCCCGCCCGACCCAATCATGACGTACTCGGCTTTAGGATATTGTAGTTATGTGGGTTAGGATTTTGGAGAGTATATGACTAGCAGGTACTTGGACCTGCTAAGCTGCATGACTTTTAACCCGGCACCTGCCTCAGCCTTCGTGCCAGCATTCGAGGGGTAGAAAGGGTAGACGCCTGCCATGCTCTTGAGCTCGGATAGGGTTTAGGGTATAGGGTTTAGGGTTTGGGATTTAGGGTTCGGGGTCTGGGTTTTAGGGTTTAGGGGCTTAGGGTTCAGTGTCTTTTTGAGAATTAAGGGATTTCAGGTAAAGCCAGGTGGTAAGTATTTCGTTGGAATGGAGCTTTTTCGCGAACCTGATAATCTTAGTCGTCTCTGCATCTTGCCGCACACTCATAGCTCGCTAAACCTCAAACTTTCCTAAACCCTAAGCCCTAAACCCCGTTAGCCCGCTCCCCACCCCAGCCTTACGCATAACCAAAATCAACAAGCAACCCTTCAAGAGCTCTAAGAGAACCGCATGCTAAGGGCCGAGGAGTCTAAGACGTATTAGAGAAAGTCACTCAGTTTTCTATATTCAAGCAGGCATGCCCGTCATAGCCCAAGTACGCAATTATCAGATACTTGGAAGAAATAATCTACAGTACTACCATCCTCAGCCCAACTACCTTTTTGTTGGGTCCTTGGACTCTTCACTGAGGAGCTGAATACCCTAGCCCAACAAAACAAGATTTACCATTTCACATATGGGTGGCTGTCAAGATGATGGTCCCTTTTTGGGTACCTTAAATATTAGGTGCCGTATTATAATAAGGACCCCAAAAGGGACCCTAATATTGACGACCACCCATATGGTAGCATGTTATAAGCCCCAAAAGGTACCCAAGAAACGCCCAACCCCCAAGGCGTGAATGCTTCGGACCTCTGGATGCCTCGGGTCCAATTGAAAGTTTAGGGTTAGGGATGAGTTTAGGGTTCAGGGTTTAGGCTTTCTCTCACTTCCTCTTTCAAGCTTGCGTCCGGGGTTCAGGGGCTTTAATGATTAGGAATAGGGTTTTGGAACCCATTATGCTCGAATGATGATAAGGAACCCCCAAAATAGTCTCGGTAATTATTATGGCTAATCTTCGGCTTCCTTCAAGAGGTCTGTATACTGCAGGGGGCTTAAGACCTAGAATACGGTTTTGGGGGCTCCTTACTACTATAGTATAATTATACCCCCAACCCTATTCTAATTGCGAAGGTCCCTGTAGTATAGTACGGGAGGGAGGCCGCCAAGCATAGGACTGGCAGATCACGTTGCGGGGGAAGGGGATTTAGGTGTGCAAGCGAGGGTTTTTTAACCCACAATGGCGGCCTTTCTCCCTGCAAGCAGCCTGCCCTGCAAGGGCTTGTAGAAGTGAAACAACTCTCAGATAATTAATCACATGAGAGAAGTGAAACAAGCGATGTTTTTTTGTTTGAACCCTCTTTTCCGTCTGCTCTGAAGGTTAGGTAGAACAAGCGAGGGCTTTTTGTTTTTTTTGTTTTTGTCGCTCCTTTTCTCCTGCAACACAAGGTCACTGGGGAATGCCCATAGGGCTGGAACACCTGGGTACCCAGGCTTGCAAAAACTCCAAGGCTCTCGGTATCGGAAGCAGCAAGCAAACACAGAGCATAAGTAGTGTCAAGGAAGTAGGAAAACCTAGTTTGAGCACGATGAGCCTGACTCCACTAGAACAACCCCTCGGACAGTCACAAAGACTAAGTGGATGCAGACTGTGAGACAGAGGAGGCGCTTTGTGCTGCGACCAGCTCTTCCGTCTTGGTGGCTTCTCGTACAGTGCCACCTTTCTGCACTGCTACAGTCTCAAAGAACTCCAACAGAACTCGACCACCAACCTACAAGCGAGGGTTTAGAGTTTAGGGTGTTTTGCAGCTACTGGGTTTCGAGAGATTGAAGAAACAGGAAAGTCATCCGAACACAAACAAATGTGGGGGTTTCCGAAAAGAGGGGACCCTAATAGAGTACCCTCAATAGTAGGATCCTTATTAAAAGGGACCACCAAAATAAGGTACCCCTAATTTTCGGAAACTCCCATCTGAACTGTGGTAAGCTAGGCAATTCAAACAAAAGCTGCTGTACGCTTCGCGCCAGCCTCCCGGTACTTAGCAACCCTTGCAGCAACCCTTATAGTAACCCGCATACCATAACCAAGAATGGAACCCCGACAGTAGCCCGTACCTAAAACACGCGTACAATAACTCTTACCGGAATTGAAATGAAGTTTGCCAGTTTGCCTGTTTCTATTACCGTATTCAGTTTTATGATGCTGGCGTGCGGATGTTGCGAACTCCTCAGCATGAGAACATGAAGATGCCACAAGAAGGTTTAGAGACCGGAGATACGGTCCGAAATGCATGACCGAGCAAGACTCGTGGAGCGGTTGAGAATATGAAGAACCGATGGCAAATGAACACAAATATAACCGAAACCTGCAACAACTCCATGGAGGTCACAAGTTGCTCTTCTTAGCCTGCAGCATATATCACAGCTGATCCCGAGTCACGCTGCTGTCGCGACAATCATCAGCACTACCGGGCTCAAAGGCCTCATTTGCAGTTTGGACTTGCGGTGCATCTCGCAGCTGCTCTTGGACGGCACTGCTGTCGCCACCAGAGTCGGCATCACCCCAGGTGATCACAGACCCATCGACCAGGACTGCAGCGAATGCATCACCAGAAGCTTGGATCTGCTGCACATCTCGCAGCTGGTCCTGTACCGTGCTGCTGTCGCCACCATACGTGGCAGTGCCCCAGGTGACCACAGATCCATCACCCAAGATTGCAGCAAATGCACCACTAGAAGCTTGGATCCGCTGCACATTCTTCAGCTGCTCTTGGACGGCACTGCTGTCGCCACCGTCGTCGTAGTAAGCACCCCAGGTGACTACAGATCCATCGACCAGGATTGCAGCGAATGCACCATCAGAAGCTTGGATCTGCTGCACATTCTTCAGCTGCGCCTGTACGTCACTGCTGTCGCCACCCAATTCACCATCGCCCCAGGTGACCACGGATCCATCACCCAGGATTGCAGCGAATGCATTACCAGAAGCTTGGATCTGTTGCACATCTCGCAGCTGGTCCTGTACCCTGCTGCTGTCGCCACCATACGCGGCATGGCCCCAGGTGACCACAGATCCATCACCCAAGATTGCAGCAAATGCACCATGGGAAGCTTGGATCTGCCGCACATGTCGCAGCTGATCCTGTACCACGCTGCTGTCGCCACCAGCGTCGGGATCGCTCCAGGTGACCACAGATCCATCACCCAGGATCGCAGCAAATGCACCACCGGAAGCTTGGATCTGCTGAACATCCCGCAGTTGGTCCTGTACCGTGCTGCTGTCGCCACCATACGCGGCATTGCCCCATGTGACCACAGATCTATCACCCAGGATTGCAGCAAATGCCCGACGAGAAGATTGAATCAGCTGCACATTCTTCAGCTGCTCCTGCACCGCACTGCTGTCGCCACCAGAGTTGGCATCACCCCAGGTGACCACAGACCCATCACGCCGGATCGCAGCGAAAGCACCATAAGTAGCTTGGATCTGCTGCACGTCTCGCAGCTGGTCCTGTACCGCACTGCTGTCGCCACCCAAAAAGCGTCTCCCCCAGGTCACGACAGTTCCATCACCCAATAGAGCGGCGAACGCAGCCTGCATACCAGCTTTCGTGGTGGCTTGAAGCTGGACTCGGTTCACATGTAGGGTGAGCACGTCTCCACTCTTCAACTTGGCTTCGGTGATAGTTTTATCTCCGTCAAGCAGCTCTCCAGAAGAACTCAGCAGCCGCCCTCTACTCCGGACCACCAGAGCACTGTAGGCGCGGCGCTTCAATGATTCAAGAGATGCCCCTGCCTCCACTTCCACAGAGGCACGCTTGCCGCTTAGTAGATGCACATCCACAGAAATCGACATTGAAGGGCAAACGCTTGCAAGACCGAAGACTACAGCTTGCTGGATTTCGCCTGAATCACCCTGGAGCTCGAGCTCACCGATGCCCGCACGAACAGTCTCCTAAAGCCTGAAGCCTAAACCTGAAACCCTAAACCCCTACCCCGCCTTAACTCGAATCCCCAAACCCCGAAAGCCCTGAAACCCTAAACCTAAAACCCCAAAGCTTGGAACCTCCAAAACCCTATAAACCCACACCCCAAACCTAGTAGCCTAGGAACCCCCCAAAGCCTATAAACCCTTAACCTAACACCCTAAAAATCGAATGTAAGCTGCACTGATGGAAGCTGGAAAAATGGTGGAGAATCGGATCGGCCACCCCTAAAGTCCTGAAACCCTAAACCCAAAACCCTAAAAAACAAATTTGAACTGCAATCTGGTGGGAGATGAAAAAATGAGTGAGAATCGGATCGGCCACCCTTAAAGCCCTGAAACCCTAATCCCAAAACCCTAAAACTCGAATGTAAGCTGCACTGATGGAAGCTGGAAAAATGATTGAGAATCGGATCGGCCACCCCTAAAGCCCTGAAGCCCTAAACCCAAAACCCTAAACATCAAATTTAAGTTGCAATCTGGTGGGAGATGAAAAATGAGTGAGAATCGGATCAGCCACCCCTAAATCCCTGAAACCCTAAACCCAAAACCCTAAAACTCGAATGTAAGTTGCACTTATGGAGGATCTGATCAGCTGCCCCGACTGCCGGGTCCCTGTTGTTCCTAGTCTACTTGGAAGGTCAGGGGACTTAGTAAGCGGTTATTTTACGGAGTTATAAGTACCATAACCCCAATTAGGGTCCCTTTTAGGGTACTTAACTTATAAGTCTACTTGCTACCTACTGACTAAGTCCCCCGACAATCCAAGTAGTATGCCCAGCAACCTAGCAACAACAAAGGGCTCCCTTTTGGTATTGGGTAACTCTATAAGGAACCTAGGGCTACAAAAAGGGAATAAGGGTACTACTGGGCATCCTAATAGTGTCTTTCAAGCATTTCTACCACGAAGACTTCTGCTGAAGAATCAACAACAGAAAACAGATCCTAACTCTACGATCCGAGTTATACGACAACTTCGACCTGAAGCCAACAAAGCTCTTCTGAACATCTGGAGATCCGGTTTTCAAAGGGCAAAAGGCGGGACCCTTAATGGGGACCCCCACCCTACAATGGGCTACATAATGGGTATATAATAGCTATATTACGGGTCTGCATTAAGGGTCCCTCCTTTTGCCCTTGGAGTTTTGCTCTCCCTAGCAGCCTAAGCCCTACAGAGAGGCTACGGGTTCAGGGTTTAGGAACCTCTCGAAGGGGGGGAGCCCGAAAGCCAGAGCCCTACTTGGAGGGTCGGGGGACTTAGTAACTGGTTATTTTAGGGACTTATAAGTACCATAACCCCAACTAGGGTCCCTTTTAGGGTACTTATAAGTCTACTTACTACCTACTTACTAAGTCCCCCGACCCTCCAAGTATACACCCCCAAACGAGCCCAGGTGTTTTTCCTGAGGGTCCAAAGGACCCAATAATTAGGTACTCAAGTTTGGGATAGTAGTTATGTAGGTTACTATTCTGGAGAGTATATGATAGTACCCTAGACCTCTAAACCCTAAACCTCTAGACCCTAAACCCTAACCCTAAACCCCTAAAACCCCAAAAAGAGCCCGGGTCTTCTGCCTGGCACAGCAAAGGTGGCTTCTTGTCGACGCTCGCTGCGCTCGGCTTCCGTCAAACGAAGAGAGTTGTCCTCCCGGGCGATCGATGCAATTTTTTTGGACGATTCAATTTAGGGTTTAGGGCTTTAGGTCTTTAGAGCTTAGGGTTTAGGGTTTTAGGGTTTTAGGGTTTAGGGTTTTAGGTGTTTAGGGTTTACCTTGACCCCAAATTACCTACCCTTTTAAGGACTTATATGAGGAAATCATAAGAAGGAACCCTAAAAAGGTAGGTTCTTTAGGGTCCGGCCGGGTCCAGGTAGGGTTTGTTCGGGATTTGAGTTCACAGTTTAGGGAGGTGTTGGGGGGTTGGGTTGGGGTTCGGGTTTTGGGGATTGGGGTTTAGGGAGGTTTAGGGTGTACCTTAACCTACCAACACCGACGTTATTGTAGGGTCCCCATGAATTGCATATTACGGTGTATAATAAGGACCTACAAAAAAGAAGGGTTTGGTAGTTTAGGGTATAGGTTTTGGAATTTGGATCCGGGTTGAGGTTTAGGGATTGGGGTTGGATTAGGGACTGGGGATTTAACGATCAGTGTTTTGGGAATACGAGCTGTTGGCATCAGGACTTAGGGATTCTAAGCTGCAGGGTTCAGGGGTGAACGATTTGGGTTTAAACAACTTCTCAAAACTTGAATCTGTACTTGATCAGACAAACCCGTCGCTGGTGCCCTGATCCGCCGTCACTGCTCAGTATGTTGTCACGGTCATGCAGCTTCCTCCTCCTCGCGATCCCGCACACCGGCCAAAGTATACCCTCTATTCTTGGCTGACTTCTGAACCCCTCCGAAAAGTTAAACTTTTTTGCCTCCTTATTATAGTTCATATAGAAACCCCAAAAGTTAAAGTCTAAAGAGCCAACCAGAAGAACGCCGAGTATTCTCGCCCAAGCACGCTAAAAGCCTCAAATCCCTGAACTCGAGCCCAATGGGCTTGGAAACCTTACAATTAAAGCCCTATATACTTTAGGGTTTTAGGGCTTAGGGTTTTAAGGTACACCCCCTGCTGGACAGAATCCTTCGCCACCTCTGCCAACAGCTTTGCTCTCCCCTCCTCCTGTCGGGCAGGGCTAAACGGTTTGGGTTAGAAGCTGCCCCCACCCTGTAATAGTGACTATAAGGATTATTTTAGGGCGCTATTATATTCAGAAAACCACGTCATGGGGGCCTGCGTTGTTGTTTACATATAGCAGCCATATCTGAAACAGAACGCGTCAAAATACGGGCCCCCATGACGTTGTGTACTCATTATATTCCTATTATACCACTATTACAGGGTGGCGGCCCCTTTCTAAGTTTTGGGGTTTAGGGCGCGAGGCCCAGCGTCGTTTTAGAACCCTAAAACTCAAAACTCTGAGTCCCAAAACACCGAAATTAAGAAGGGTACCTTTCTTCAGACTCCTACTATTTAAGGGAATTTCCGAAAATAGGGGTGCCTTATTTTGGGGTCCGTATAATAAGGATCCTACTATTTAGGGTACTATATTAGGGTCCCCTATTTTCGGAAACCCCAATTTAGATATGGGCCTTCATAAGAAAAGCTGTGGTTCATTACTGTGTGACTCAAACAAGGAGCCCGAAGCATCTGTAGTACGACGAGGGGTTCCATCTTTCGGCTTCCCGATATTCTGTGGCCCTACCTTGACCCCAAACAACCTACCTGTTTAGGGACTTAAAAAAGGAAATCATAAGAGGGAACCGTAAAAGGTAGGTTCTTTAGGGTCCAGGTAGGCTCAGGATCCAAGCCCGAGCTCTGCATTGTAGGGCCTGAAAGGCCCTCAACCAAGCATCAAAGAATGCAAACAATGCTAGGCTGTAGCTGCACACCCCTTAGTACCATATGAACAAAAATAAAAATAGTTTCTAAGGAGACTATAGGTAGAGGGTCATGGGACTTAGTAAGTAAGGTTATAAGTCCCTCAAACGGGGTTATAACTAGTTATAAGTATGGTTACCTTGTTTAGAACCCGAGTTGCTAAGTCCCATGATCTTTTGAGTAGGCTGCAGGGCACTCTAACCCTAAACCCTAAACCCTAAACCCCAAACCCTAAACCCTAAACCCTAAACCCCAAACCCTAAACCCTAAAGGGGTTTGGGGCCCTGGATCCCCACATGAAGCCCCTATAGTTCCAAGGAGTATTCCTGAATTCAAGGGCACTATACCCTGGGGCCCCAAAGTAGTTCCTTTTTGGGGTTCATATATAGGATCCTATAGGGTAACTCCAAAAAGGAACTACTTTGGGGCCTCTGGGTAGGCTCTCTGGGCAACCTATGGTATGTACAGTCTAGGTTCCTGGGCTTTATAAGGGGGGGGTTGCGCTTTCCTACAAGGGGACGGTAACATGAGAAGGACAAAAGGGTACTACACAGGAACCTGCCTTTCGCAAGCACGCCTCTGGGAGGACTCCAAAGGTGGGATGAAGATAGGTGGGACAAAGCTGTTTCTTGGGGACTACCCTGTCTACTATAGGGGCCTAAATCATTACCACTACTATTTTGAACCTTATGATAACTATAGTGTAATTAATGGACCCCCAAACCCTACTCTCCTTATACTACCTACCTCTTGAGGCCCCTGAGCCTCGTGGGGGTCGTTATCGAAGTAAAAGATCTTCGCATCGCTTCGCCGGGCTCTTCCGGCACCCTGAATGTGGCTTTTCCTCGGCTAGGACGTAGGGCTCAGGTAGTACAGTAGGATGGTAGGATTTTGCTTATCAAGTTTGTCAAGGGGTCTTTGTAGGATCTTAGAGTTTAAGGTTTTTAAACCCTACATCCGAAACCCTAAGATGTTTTCGGGCTTACAGAGAGTTTGGGGGGTAAGGTGTTGAAGGATTCTTGGGCGCCAAGTTCATGATTCATGATGCTTCACCCATCCTTCGCGGCTCTGCATTACCAAGGGGCGAAGACCCGAACTCCTAGACAAGGCTGAGGGTTGGGGGCTTTCCCTTCAGTGTTTCGGGCTTGAGTTCAAAAATGACAAAAACACCAGCTTTGCAGTTCGCCACTGAGAACCACCTCTCTTCTTCAATATCGAGGTGCAACAAACTTCAAACTTTCGCAGATAGAAGGATTATTTTAAGCCCAAAAGCGTGATGGTCTCCGACCGGCTCTCCAAGTCTCAGGAAAACCCACTTCCAGGTAAAGGGTTCAGGGCTCTCAGCCGCCCTCTCAAGCATCCAAGGGGTTTAGGGTTATAGCGGATCCCAGAAAGTTAGAACACGAGTTTCGGAGGATTACTGCTAGGATCCCTTATACTTTACCTTAAGCGCATGAGGATACTAATGTTCCAACTTTTTGGGCAAGTGGGCGCCGCTTCGGCTACGGCAAACAAAACCTGGACTGCCTGGCCTTGGGGTGCTGTGGCTGGGGATTTCGGGCTGTGAAGCGAGCCAGTAATGTCGGATCCCAACGGATATCCCAACAAATCCGAACTAGTCTTGTGCAATCGGTATGCAGTATGGTATCCCGGAGTTTCAGAAAATAAGAGTCCCCCACAAAGTCCTATGCAACAGGACCCTCATTTTGACATCTCTGAAACCCCTCATGGGCTCACATGTTTCAAGGCACCACGTTCTTCCTGATTGGCAGGCATACCCATGAACTTCAATATCCGCTAGCACGTGAACACATGGTGGCACAAGTGCGATTGTGAGAGCTAGCATTCCAAGCTCGAGCCAAGTCCTTTTCCCTTCCCTTGCCCTCCCCCTCCTTCATCAAATCCTGCAAAGGGTGCCCTTCCCCGAAAAGCTGTGCACCATATGCTTGATCTGAACCTTCCGCAAAGACGAGGCTCGTCGTGGAAAAGCCTGGGAGGGATACTTGATATTGGTGTACATTCAATCCTGTAACAATATTATCTCTACACCCTAAACCCTTGGAAAGGCTATACGAAGTCTATTTACATCATTCAGAAGGCTCTTCTCCTACGCCAATGAACTTGATAAGTTGAAGATGAATGAGGTCGTAAAGAATTACTTGCAGCATAATGGACCGTTCTTCTCCAAAAGAGCACCAAACGCCACAACACGCGGCCACATCACATTAAGTTCTATTCGTGTTCGCTTTGCTTGGGCAGAGGTAAGTTGAATGAAGGATTGCGAACCAAATTGCTACAGTGATGGCTCCAAGCCAGCGACATGGCAGTGGAACCCAGAATCTCGTAGAGAGGCTTTTGCACACCACAAGGTTTCGGGTTTACCTGGTTTGTGCCCTGTTTTTCGAGCTCAGATACAACCATACCGAGCAAAAAAACCCTACGCCCCAAACCTTGAACCCAACACCCAAAACTCGAAACCCCAAACCCCAAACCTCAGGACCCCCGAAACCCTATAAACCCTAAACCGGAAACCCCAAAGCCTACTTCGTGGGTTCCTTAATTTAATTATAGTATAATGGGCTCCAAAACCCTATTCTAACGGTTGATGATATAAACCCTGCATTACGCAGAATGAGGAATGTACCATTATTCCCATAGTTTAAGGTCTTTCAGGTAATGCAGGATTTATATGGGTGGTTGTCAAGATTAGGGTCCATTATTGGGTACGCTAATCTTAGGTGCCGCATTATAATAAGGACCCAAAAAGGGACCCTAATTTTGACAACCACCCATATCATCAACCGAATCACTAAACTCTACGGCTGGTGTGCCAAGGCCAAGGCGGTTGAAGCGGATCACGAAGGCGCAATCCGACACGTCAACTCCCTCCTGGTCTCAAACGGGAGTTTCCGAAAATAGGGGACCCTAGTATAGTCTTACTCCCACAATAGCCACAGAAATGAAAGGTTAAACTTTCAGATTACTACTAAACTATAAGAACCCCAAAAGTTTAAAAGTTTGGTATTGGAGAACTAAGTAGTACCCCAAATAGTAGGATCCTGATTGTAAGGACCCCACAATAAGGTACCCCCCGCCCAATTTTCGGAAACTCCCAGCTGAACTGGTGTTTTGGGCTTTAGGGACTTAGGATTTAAGGTTTTAGAGCTTGTAGGGTTTAGGCCTGAATTCTGAACACGGGAGAAGGCCCTGGATCAAATGAGCTGGATTTAGGGCTGTAGGAATTTGCAGTAGAAGCCCAAAAGTTGGAAACCCAATAGAATCAATCCCTAAGAGCTATGTAGAAGGAATCCCAGCACTAGTTGTCCTCAGTCCGGTGTCCAACTCTTTGGGGTTTACTATAGAGCTCATATGGTTTAGGGGTTTATTTTGAACAAGCAATATGGCTCATGCAGGATGCGTTGAACAGACTTTGGGGTTAAGGGCCTTTTGAACAGGGACTTGAAACACGGTTCAGAGGTTTGGTTTGGGGTCTAATGGATCTGGGAACCATGTGGGCGTGGATATCTAAGGGCTTTAAGACTGAAACCAGCTTTCTGAATATTTTGCACTTAGTGGCGTTATACAGGTCTGAAGGATCTGGACTTCTTGCACGTAAAGGGGGGGATTGACTAACCTTCATTCCGCAAACAGCCGTGGTCCACACTATGCTAGGTTCCTGTGTGACCCCTAAACCGCGAGGGTACCCTTCTTCCTAGTATTCAATCTGAATAAAGGGACCCCAACATGAAACAGGCAGAAGGGTACCTAAACCCTAAGCCCTAAACCCTAAAACTACTGGGGAACCAAGCTTAAACCCTAAGCCCGAAGCCGCAACAAGTGATTCGCATCTGGATTGTCCCAAGACTGCCTGCATAAACCCGAAGCCCCAAGCCCTAAACCCTAATCCCGTAACCCTGACTCATGGTCTAACATCAAGGTCCCTACAAGAACCTGCGGATCGTCCAGGAACCTAGTAAGATAGGGGCCTGAACAACTAGAAAAGGGTTTTGGGGCCCCATACTATAAACATGATTAGGGACACCCAAAATAGCAATAGGGAAATATTTAAGCCCCTATAGTATATTATAGTACAGACCCCTTTAAGGATCCCATAGCCATAGAAAATTATTTAGGCCCCTATTAGTATGGCAGCTCTACCGTTTAGGGTTGCAGCGCGGCCCGCGTGCATGCGCTGAACCGGAGGTCCCTGGTCTTCTACCCAAACGCTCCATGTACCCATATGGGTGGTTGTCAAAATTAGGGCCCCTTTTTGGGTTCTTTATACAATACAGCACCTAATAACTACTATTTAGGGTGCCCAAAAAGGGACCCTAATTTTGACAACCACCCATATAGTAGCTACTTAGGCCTTATAAAGTACCCATAAAGGACCCCTTCAAGGCCTAAGTAGCTACTGTGTGGGCACATGGAGCCTTAACACCTACTTAAAGGATCATGGGACTTAGTAACCAGGGTTATAATCAAGGTAACTATACTTATAGTTACTTATAACCCACATTAAGGTACTTGTAACCCTACTTACTAAGTCCCATGATCCTCCAAGTAGAAGTCTAAAAGTTGCTTTTTAAAGCTCCTTTTTGCTCCTGCCCAAGTCAGGAGGCGATTGCCCAACTGAGGGATGTGCTTAAGGGTCCTGATGGGCGCAAAGTCTAAAGGGTTTAGGGCTTAGGGCTTCTTTTGGAATACTTGGAGGGTCGCGGACCTAGTAAGTAGGTAGTACGTAGAGTTGCAAAGTACCCTAAAAGGGATCTCTAATGAGGTTACGATACTCGTTTCTCTATAATGGGACTACTTAATTACTAAGTCCCCCGACCCTCCAAGTACCCCCTACATTGTGCTCTGTGTGATATGCCCGAAGCGCGTGAATGATATGATTCTGAGTTCAAGATGCACCCTGACCTAACCCTGTGACGGCAAGCACAACTAAATGCCTGAAAACCGGGTTGGCGCGAAGGCTTATAGGGATTAGGAAACTGCTGCTGGTTCCACCAATGCAAACATCCGGACACGACCCAAGAGATAACCAATTTTTTTCCGGGTTTACTTCGCAAGACAGACCGGTCTATCTTCCGAAGGACCCAACGACTCCTCCAAAGCACTGGTGCAGATCAGCACGTTGAGCTCTCCTTTGCGGAACCTCGCAGGGGTAGTGATGCGTTGAACCAGGGCCTTACGACTAGGATACCCAGTAACCTAAGATTAAGAAGGCCTCTCTTTTTGGTATTGGGTAACTTTATAAGGAACCTAGGACTACAAAAAGGGAATAAGGGTACAACTGGGCATCCTAGACGACTTAGAGTGACCAAAGAAGGATTAAGACCCGGAACGACTAATTACAACGCTTGTGGAAATCGAAATACTTCAAAGAAGCAGCTGAACGCTACGGGTGCTGCCAGCTGTGCATGCAGCTCCGTTACAGAAGCCCACACCATGGGAACATGGGCTGCATGACAATGTGATAGAGTTGAATACTAACGGAGCAACAAAACGCAATGAAGGCGCTGTGACGGATAAGGCTTTATGGTTTGGCACGCGCCATTCTTGATGAGACCTTCATGGAGGGTCTCACAGTATTCCTTGTTTTCAAAGCACCCGAACCTTGGAATCTGAAAGAAGGACGAATTCTGTAAGACTCGCAGCACTGCAAAAGCTGTATAATTACTCGCACACATTACGGTTGACACCAGGGCTCACTGCAGCTTCCGTGATACCTGAAATATTTCTTCTTTGCAAACGTTGAAAGAGATTCTTCAAAAGCAGCCGGGGGTAGATCGCAGAACAGAAGGGAGTTCTACTTAACGGATCATGGGACTTAGTAACTAGGGTTATAACCAGGGTAACTATACTTGTAACCCCAATTAGGGTACTTATAACCTTACTTACTAAGTCCCATGATCCTCCAAGTACTGAACAATGAATGCCCCAAGCTCTGCAGCCCGAGAAGCTACAACAAACCGAAGTCTCGGACTGCTGAACCTTAAAAACGATTCAATAGAAGCTGCCCCCACCCTGTAATCGTGACCATAAGGATTATATAGGATTATATTCGGGCCCTATTATATTCCTATTATACCACCATTACAGGGTGGGGGCAGCTTCTAAACGATTCAGCCCTAAGAAGCCAAACCTCGAAATGTGCAAAATTACTCAACAGCCCCAATCCCGAACCCTGCCTTGCCCGAACCGTCAAAGAAACGAGAGCACCAACAGAAGTACTAGTCATCGCCATAGCAACAAACAGGACCATTGTCTTCGATTGTCATAGTCATAATCACAATCATAGTCGTAATAAGTGTCTCGTTCAAGTCCCACAAAACCATCAAGCCTACACCTAAAACTAAAACCCGATCTGTCTCTTCGCCGTCAAAAAACAGATATGCATACACAGAGCATATATGTATGGAACTACATAGCCAAACAGTACCATGTAATCAAACTTGCGGGCCCATTGCACCAAAGCACGAAGACTATGACAAACAACTCTCTGGAGTCTGTTTGTCTAGTTGAACACGAAAATCGTTCCTAAGCGTCTAGGAGCATCTTATTTGTCCAGTATCCAGGGGGGACAAAGGTTAACCTTTCGGAGTATTTAGAGATTGTAGAACCTGAACAAGGCTAAAGGTTGCCTGCTCTAGTACTAAGGGATCAACGCGGAAAAGAGCTCCGATCGCCTCTCCATCTCCTGGTCTCGCTTAGCATCGGCCATCGACTGCGTGCCAGAAACTGCTCCGGCCCTCACAACCTTCGCTTACTTAGGGATTCAGGCACGAAACCCTGTAAACCCTAGATTCTCAACCCTAACACCCCGAAGCCCTAAACCCTTGGACCCTACGTAAATCGTAGGGCGGTTTGGAGAACCTTCGACAATGAGTTTAGAGTCTGATGGTTGCTGGCTTCGTTCTTTAAGGGCTGTGGGGCGTGTGGGGGCTTTCGTTCCAGGGCGCTTTTGGGAGAAGGCACTCTAAACCGTAAAACCCTAAACCCTAAAACCCTAAAACCCGAACCCCTAGACTCCAAACTCTTTGCCGTAAATATTGTATAACTCGTAAAGAAGACTCGAGGAGCTGCGTAGTTCTTCCCGAAATGCTCCGTCAACCTCGGTGCTTTGAAGTTTCTGGCTTTGGGATTAGTGTTCAGGTTTTGGGGGTTAGGGGGTTTAGGGTTGTGGGTTTAAGGGTTTAGGGCTTCGAGCTGCGAGGGGTTCTTAGAACTAGGGGAACTTTATGGAGGTCTGTATTGTAAGATGCTACTATGTACATCTTCTGTACCGGGGGTTCTTGTGCATTCTCTTGCAAGTCCCGAGCACACCTGTAGATTCTAGAATCACGCAATTCAAGCCCAAACCCCGAATCCTTCAAACCTGAACCCAGGTGTGGAACATTTTTCTGTCAGTTGCTCCAAAACTCCAAAACCTAAACCCCAACACTAAACCTTGAAACCTATGAGCAGTTTTCTTACTAGGATACCCAGTAACCTAAGAATAAACAGGCCTCTCTTTTTGGTATTGGGTAACTTTATAAGGAACCTAGGACTACAAAAAGGGAATAAGGGTAGTACTGGGCATCCTGGTACTCCTTGGCCCAAGACGACTGGTGTCTCCAAAACTCCGCACTCAACGCCGCACTGGGCTTGTTGAATATAGCGGCCCTCATAACTAGAATAGAGCTTTGGGAGTACATAATACAAAAATATGTCAAGGACACCTTTGGGATATTAATATTACTAGTCGTCATTCAGGTTTCTAAACTGAATCGAACATATTTCAAAGCAACTAGAACTCAGGGCCGTAATTAGCAGATTGGGTTATATTGTGTGTTGAACTCTAATTATACTTAAAAACGGAACCCCAAGGAACGAGATAAGTATCTAGGCCTGCATGTTCGTTCGCAGGTTGGTGGATATTAGGGGTTTTTAGTACAGTACCACCAAAAAGGTAAAAGGACGTTGAAGGTTACCTGCTCTACTACCGAAAGTGGTAATTACCTAGTATGTACGGATGCTCTAACACTCTTCGTGTAGTAGCTATAGAGCTCAAACAAGCCATAGGTTGCAATAGCTGAATGATGCCAAGCTTCAAATGAGCTAGTGGCATGGTGAGCGCCACTTGCGTGACAAACACGATGCCCCGAAAATCGCCACGACCGTCCTTCCCAAACTTATCCCACAGCGTCAAATAGACACTGCTTTTAGGGCTTCTAGGGCGCAGTGAGTCGAGAATATTCTTCGGGAATCCTAGAGGGCTCTCCTGATTCTACTGCCTTGAAAGTTTAGGGTCTGGAGTTTGTCCCAGAGCCCTATGCCCTGAACCCGAAATCCTAACTTGCACGGTCCTCGCCCTGGAAAAGGGTCTCCAACAGCTGCAAAAGCGCAGCAGCCTTCCCTGAGATCGAGGGGGTCCTTGGCTTGCAGGATTCTCTGCAACAAAACATATTTTGGTTGAAAGAACAAACCGGCACTTAACAAATCCTAGAACGACCGCCCAGAAGCATTCTTGCATCTTGCTGGTGGATCTTTTTCGGTTCGCGCAGGTTTACGAGGCTGTTTACAGTGACCCGGGGGGGTCGACGTCCTTGCCTCCACGCCCCGACTCGGATGCTATAGCCGAGCCCTACATAGCTGTAACAAGCCAAGAAATTCCTTACAACACCAAAACCTAAACCCTAAACCAAATAACCCAACATCCAGTATGCCAATGTCTCAATAACCATGGCCGTTTCAACAAGACTTTCACCGAGTATCGTATCGAACCGCCCGCTCCCGTATCGAGCCGAACCAAACCGAACCGAACACTCCCCCCCAACCTCCACCTCCCACCTCCCCCGCTCACCTCCCCTCCCACCTCCAACCCTCCCACCTCCCCCTGCACGGGTGGCTGGCTGGTCAGGTAAGCAGCCTCTCCACATCTCGCAGGTACGCTGCAGCCTTCTTCTCCAGGAGTTCGTCCTCGAACAACATGGCCAACACTCAAGGGCTGTCGGCCTGGATGCAGTCTCCTTCTCTTTGAGGCTTGCCATGAGGCTGCGAACCTCCAATGGCGGCCAAGCCTGTCTCGACATCGTTTGCAAACATTTGTTCATTATGTGCAGCCATGATCTGCATCAAGTGTTGCCAATGTCAGCCACTTCATTCCACCCGTTACCCGGTCAAGAAAGCATCAGAACGTTCTGATGGGAATACTTGAATGGCTGCTGCGCTTGTCTTGGGTCCACTCCTCGAACCATCAGGCCATGATCAGCCCATGAGTGCACCCCGGCAAAGACCAGCATCGATTGTCATGAAGTCATCGCAATCCGCACATCTGCTCGAACGTCCTATTGAACTATTGCTCAAAGGGGAAAAGGAGGGACCCTCAATGGGGACCCCTACCCTATAATGGGGCTATATCATGGGTATATAATGGCTACATTAAGGGTATATACCTAGGGATCCTTATTGAGGGTCCCTGCTTTTACCCTTGGAATTGCGGTGTCGGACAGCACCCCGCTATATCCTCACAGGCCAACACTCATCGAAGGCTGAGCCGCCTCCACTGCAGTCCAATCCTCCAACCAACACCAATCTTCTGGGTGGCTGTCAAAATTATGGTCCCTGTTTGGGTACCTTAAATAATAGGTGCCGTACTAGATTAGGGACCCGAAAAGGGACCATAATTTTGACAACCTGTCAACATGCTGCCACTGGCTCGCAGCCCCAAATTTGGAACATAAACGATCGACTGACGCCGTCACCTGGGCAAGAACGAACCGCCGCACACAGCCTCGCTGTCCTCACCGCTGCCGCCAGTGCGCCTAATGTAGGAACCTGATTAAGAAACCTCAGGCCTTTATAAAGGGGTCTATAAGGGTTATTATAGGAATCTTTCATAAGGGTTCTATTATGGTATAACCGTCGGCACTTCGAGTGTACGCCAGATCTTCCCGGCTCGAACTATAGGGTTCTACACCAAAGTCCCCTCAAAGCGAACTGGCGGGTTTCATAATGGGGTCCCTCAAAGGAGCGCTTACGGGAACCCTACTATAGAACCCTAAAGTGCCCTTAACAGAACCCTTGAAGGAACCCTTCAAGGAACCCCCTCAAAGGATCCCTTAAAGAAGCCGAATAAGATCCCTTACTTAGTTGCTGAGTTCATAGGCCCCCCCAAAAGTGTACACTTGCATTTTTATGGTGGGTAGAGTATTATCCCCAAAAAGTGTAAAGTGTATCCACTCAGCTACTAAGCTTAAGAGGAGCCCCGAAACAGATGGGGGTTTCCGAAAATGGGGGACCCTAATATGGCACCCTAAAATAGTAGGATCCTTAATATAAGGACCCCTAAATTATACCCCTATTTTCGGAAACTCCCAAACCCTAAACCCTTCAAAGAACCCTTATAGATCCCTTTAAGGAACCCTTAAAGAATCCCCTTATAAAGGTACCCCGAAGTTTTCGGAAACTCCCAGACCGAGCGAGGCCCAGGTGCTGGGTAAGCTGCCCGTCGGCCCTGAGGGTGTCAGCCGCCTTGCCAGTAAAGAGTCTCCAAAAATTCGGGGTGCCTTTATCTAGGATACCCAGTAACCTAAGAATAAAAAGGCCTCTCTTTTTGGTATTGGGTAACTTTATAAGGAGTCTAGGACTACAAAAAGGGAATAAGGGTACTACTGGGTATCCTAGTTATAAGGGGATTCTTTAAGGGTTCCATTAAAGGGATCTATAAGGGTTCTATAAAGGGTTTAGGGTTTAGAGTTTCCGAAAATTAGGGGGTACCTTATTTTGGGGTCCTTTATATAAGGATCCTACTACTGAGGGTACTATATTAGGGTCCCCTATTCTATACTGAACTTAGAACCCTAGCAAAAATCAAAATTTTAGTTGTTTCTTAGGGAATATAGTAGCCAAAAATTCAGAAGTATTTCTAAGTACCCCTAAGTTGCTATTCGGGTTTGGGGCCTCGGGTTCCATCAGGGTCGAGGGCTTGGGGTTGCTATTGTCAAAGGGGAAAAGGAGGGACCCTTAATGGGGACCCCTACCCTATAAAGGGGTATGTAATGGGTATATAATAGCTATGTTAAGGGTATATAGCTAGGGGTCCTTATTAAGGGTCCCTCCTTTTGCCCTTGGATATTGGGTTTAGGGGGGTTCCAAACAGCACAACGGCGGTCCTGGCGATTCGGGGTTTAGGGATTCCAGGGCTTACAGGTTTAAAGGATTTAGGGGTTTAGATGTTTTAGGGCGTTTGGGGTTTAGGGATGTAGGAGCTTAGGGGCTTAAGGGTCTAAGGGTTTAGAGATTTTAGGAGTTTAAGTGTTCAGGGGGCTAGGGTGTATGCAAGCAGTCTGCGCGTAGGGCTAAATCTTCCTTTAGGCAACTGAAGGTTAACCCATTGGGATTACAGATAGGCTCCATAGTAGTTCCTTTTGGGGGTTATTATTTAGAATCCTATAAGGTAATCCCAAAAAGGAACTACTATGGAGCCTATGGGTACATCGGGATTAAGTCTGCTGTAACTTGGGGCGTTCGTGTCCCCCGTTCGTGTCCATGGAGCCCTGAGTGCACCTCCTGCATCTGGCGTCGAAGCTGAGGCAGCTGATGCTTTAAGACCTGGAGACAGGCTGAGTTACGGTTTACAGACGGGAGTTTCCGAAAAATAGGGGACCCTAATATAGCAAACTAAATAGTAGGCTCTGTACGCCGTACGCCTCCTCGCTGTCCAAGGCTCGCTATGCTCGCAGTAAGACTTAGGATGCCCAGTAACCTAGGAATAAAAAAGGGCTCCCTTTTTGGTATTGGGTAACTTTTTAGGGAACCTAGGACTACAAAAAGGGAATAAGGCTACTACTGGGCATCCTAGCATACAGGTTTAGAGGTGTAGGCTTTGGGGGGGCGACGATCTCGGGCTTAGGTTTGAGCGGTCGTAGACTTTATGGCAGGAAGGCGCAAACATAGTTCTCAGGGTTTACAGCCAAGATTGCAATTACCAGAACTTGACTTCTCCTGCAGAACGAGTCTGCAGCCCGAAGCTCTCGTTCCTCCTTACCTCTGCAAGCCCAAGAATGTTGCAGGCTTATAATGACAAGCTCCTGAAGTAGGGCCTTAGGCATAATCAAGGTTCAGAGTTTCGCCTAGCCTCGTGGAGCCTGTGTGTTCCATCCAAATATAAAACTTCAAACTGGCCGGAACCTCTTCTGGAGCGTCCGGGTACACCCCATGTCCCTTCAATGCCAATCGACCCACTTCGACTCCGGAACGCTGAATGCAGCAAAGTGAGTAGATTTGGGACTTGGGGCATAGAACATAGTAGACTTAACCCGAAAACCCTCAAGCCTAAACAATAAACTAAACACTACTCATACTTGGAGGATCATGGGACTTAGTAAGTAAGGTTATAAGTACCCTAATTGGGGTTATAAGTATAGTTACCCTAACTATAACCCTAGCTACTAAGTCCCATGATCCTTTAAGTACTCATAAACCCAAGGAGCCCCCAGGAGGGATATTTCTTATTGCTCAGGCTTCTATATTAGCTCGGCGTTTCTTGCCATTTTGTCGGACTAGTGGCAGCCACAAACTTACTCCCCCAATAGCCACAGAAATAAAAGGTTAACCTTTCAGATTACTACTAAAGTATAAGAACCCCAAAAGTTTAAAAGTTTGGTATTGGGGAACAAAGCAAAGGCGGGACAGCAAAACCATTGTGGAGTCGCGGTTTGGGTTTAGGGCTTAGGGTTATAATCTTCGGGACTTTGCAGGTGGTGTCAACATCACATATTTCAAGCTTCAAGCCTTGTGGTAGTGATCGCAGTGATAAAATCGGCAGGACCGATGGAAGGAAGTGCGGTATACTTGCATTTTCCGGAGATGATTTCTCACTCTCACACTGTTTCAGATGAACTTTGCCATGCAGACGTCAGGGTGTCCGCTTCCCGCCGACAGTCCGTACTGCCGATGAGCCGCCGATACAGGCGGAGAGAACATCCAGACTTTGCTCGGCAATTGACATACTCAGAAGTTGGTAGTTATACCATCCTTAGAACCATAATAAAGATAGTGTGTTTAATATTCTCTTGGTTTTTATACGAACAAAATCAAAGGTAATTCCTAAGGAGACTATAGGTAATGTGGCTATAATGCCTACTGTATTAGATTTAGCAAATATCAATGCTCCTGAGTTTGTTGATGGAGATGGGGCTCGAGAGCACCCAGAGAAAGCGCACGTGGCTCCGTACGCCTCCTCGCTGTCGAAGGCTCGCTATGCTCGCAGTAAGGCTTAGGATGCCCAGTAACCCAGGAATAAAAAGGGCTCCCTTTCTCGTATTGGGTGCCTTTATTATAAGGAACCTTGGACTACAAAAAGGGAATAAGGGTACTACTGGGAATCCTAGAGACCGCGCTGGGACCAAATCGCCACGCCCAGTCGTGCGGCTTTCACCATCCAGTTTAGGGTCTGGTTCTTGTCAAACCAGAAGGACTTGTGCATCAACAGTGTCTTCATGCTGAATTTATGTTTGCAGTAATTGAGGGTTCTGAGAATACCTAGGATAGGGTTTTGGGGAATATATATATATATATATATATAATGGTTTGTCAGAACAAGGAACCTAGAGACTAACATTAAAGCTACTTATCAAGACCCTCATAGTATCGTCAGCGTGTGTGCTGAGGGAATGTAGACCCCACCCCTTCGGAGAACCAACTTTTGCTGGAAGGGCAGGGTGAGCAGGAAGTTTCATACCGTAGGGGGCATAATAGTTTGAGCGGGTTTGTGGCTGCTTTATGGTGTAACCATGATAAAGAACCTCGAGGAGCAAAGTTTGTAACTATTTAGGCTTCTATATTATAATGTAGGAACCTGATTAAGAAACCCCGGCCCCATAACCCGAATATAGTAGGACTCCCATGTGGGAGTTTCCGAAAATAGGGGACCCTAATATAGTACCCTAAATAGTAGGATCCTTATTCTAAGGACCCCCAAAATAAGGTACCCCTATTTTCGGAAACTCTAAACCCAAAACCCTTCTTATAGAATCCTTATGGATCCCTTCAAGGAACCCTTAACATTAAGAAACCCATAACCCGAATATAGTAGGACTCATGTAAGGAACCCCCACGAGTTGCTATGGTAATGGTAGCCCGCTTTGCTTTGGCTCCTTCGTGACTCAAAATGTCATCCCAGAAATCTCTAAGCACAAACTGACCGTGAAGGAGCGCTGTGCGCAAAGGCCGATTGAAACTGTAGGATCACTGCAAGCCGGGAAATATCCCTGAACAAAAGAAACAACCAAATTAGAAAGCCAGAGACCAACAACAGATTGGCTTGCGGCCGGGGACGTCAACAACAGACCACTAGTGACTAGTGCCGGTGTTAATAGCTATATTATTAAGGTTCTATACCTGGGGACCTAATTAAGGGTTCCTCCTTTTACCCTTTGATAAACTGTCAAAGGCTCCAAAATTCCCTAGACGCTAAGCCGTCTGCCTCCTTCTGCTGGCTAGAACCGCCCATGGCGTCCAGAGCTTCTGCATGGGCCTGGTTGGGTTAGGGATTCGCTACAGGTTTAGTGTTTTGGGTTTAGGGGTTTAGGGTGTAGGCGTTTAGGGATTCTTTTTTGGGTTTAGAGTGTTGGGTTTACAGGTTTTGGCCACGCAGGCGTTTTCGGGTTTAGGGCTTTGACTTAAGTTGCAGGGCGTACAGGGGGTTCCGGCTTGCAATATCGGATGGTTTAGGTCATACCTTAACCTACCCAAACCTACTTTTTTGTAGGGTCCCTATAAATTCCATATTAGGGTTTGTAATAAAAACCTACAAAAAGTAGGGTTTGGTAGTTTAAGGTAAACTTGAACCCTAGACTTAGTTGCTGAGTTCACGAGCCCAAGGCGTGTACACTTTACGTTCTGTAGGTTAACACTAGTAAAAGTACACCGATCCTGCTACTGAGCAAAGCTTCAGCGCTTAGGGCTTGTATTTGGAGTTTGGGCTTGGAAGCCCTGAGCAAAAACTACCTGTAGTCCCCATGTTGGTTCCTTTTTCGGTTTGACCGAGTTTATATTAAATTTTGGAACCTATAAGGCAGCCCACATAAGTAAAATGGAGACTACAGGTAATCCAGAAGTCCAACACCCTCATCTTTTACTCTGTATTTGCCAAGCCCCGTTACCTCTACCACGAACCATGAACTTTCCGGTCGTACCTCTTCCTTGAGCCTTTGACCGCCAGCAAGCTGGCTCACACACTGGGAAGTGTGAGTACTTGCGGACGATCTGAACTGGCTAGACTGGCGGCTGCTACCCGTCACTGTCTTGATAGTCCCAGCAACAGACGCACAATCTCCACGTGCCCTCCGCCAGCGGCTGCTGAAAGAGCTGTGAAGCCGTCATCTCCACAAACTGTGTCTGGATCAGCACGAGCACCTAACAGCAGATTGGCAATGCCCACGTGCCCAAAACACGACGCCCAAAACAGAGGTGTCGTCGAAGGAACTGTGGTTCGCGCCTTGGGCATTGCATGACGGCAGTCGTCAAGCGCAGACCCCATGAACTGCACGAGCAATCTTATCATCTCCACATGGCCTCTCGAGGATGCGGCGACAAGGGCTGGAGCAAGATGGCCCTGCTGCATGTGTTCTGAGTGCGCAGCTCCTTGGGTTGCTGAAGCATCACCAGCCAAGCTACTCTCCAACAACAGGCGCGCAACTTCAAGATGTCCGCCTTGAGATGCTGCCACCAAGGGCCGGGCATCATGGTCCACACGATCGTCATTATATTGAGGAACTAGAGCAGGTATGATGGACGCTGGGTCGGCACCTGCCTCCAACAACATCTGCACGATCCCCATGCTGCTTTCATCGGGGCCCCACGCTCGGCCCGTGTGGCTGCCTTCATGTCCGACGATCGTCGCAGCAAGGGCGGTTACGTCATTCCCCCAAAAGTTGGCGACTACCTCCGTGAAGGCGCGAGCCTCCAACAAAAGGCGGACAACTTCAATGTGGCCCCTGCCTGCAGCTAAAACAAGGCTCGGGCCCTCGTAGCCCATGCCCAGTCCATAGCTGTCTAGGTTGGCAGAAGCCTCCAACAGCAGACGCACAACCTCCACGTGGCCCTCATCTGATGCTGCTCCAAGAGCTGTTTGTTCTCGATGAAGTGGCCTCATCTCACGCGGATGAGCGACTGGAGAAGGCCTGTTCGGGTCTTGTGGTCGCTGCAGAATCTCCTCAACAAGGGCAACGTTGCCGTCACGGGCAGCGCTGGTCAGCTCGAGCGCCTGCTCATCCGAAGCTTCGGAAAACGGCAGCACGACCATCTGCAAACTGTCCGGCAAGTCCACCACTGCACAATCATCATGTAAATCGCGGCCATGGCTCACAAGTGACAGTCTGAACCGCGACAAGGCCCTCGTGCTTTGTAACTGTTGTTTCACCGTCCGTATATCGCTCAAGCCGTCCTTCTCAATAGCCACCGCTTCTCCCGACAGTGTCCAGACATGCAGCATCTTGGCTGAGTCTGGCCAATCCGCGTAGCGAAGTATATCGGAATTGATATCTAACTACGCCGTACAAGAAAGAAGAGAATGAAAAGGCTCTAGAAACTCTCACTTAATGTCTCGCGGAATAACCAAGACCAGTTCAAAGGTCGACACATTGATCTGACTCCGCTGTTGACTGCGAAATCTACCGGTTATACGCTAACCAAGGATTATTGTTGATCATGGATTGTAGGACTGGGCCGTCGGATGCTTGGCGGAAACGCTCTTACAAGAGCTGGGATCAAGCTTGAGTCTTGGCCTTGAGGAGAACGGCCGCAACACGGTGATATTCCCGGGGGGGCCAGGAAGTTCTTCAAACTACTTAACAGATCAAGCTGCTTATCGCCCGCCCTCTGCAAAGCATACTTGTAGCCTCACTTGCGAAGCCCCCCGGGGACACTAAACCCTAAACAACAAGCCCCAAACCCTAAATAACCTTAAACCCTTAAATCCTTAAACCCTAAACTCTGAGCCCTAAGACCTTAAACCCTAAGACCTTAAACCCTAAACCCTAAACCCTTACATCCTTAAACCCTAAACCCTGAGCCCTGAGACCTTAAGCCAAAACTCGAACCCGGAAGCCTCCAGTTGCGGAACGATGCAATCTCGCAGAGCATAGCAAAAGGCTGCCATTCCCAACTCCTTCCAGTTAGGGTTTTTTTTTTTAAAGTGTATTGGCTCTTTATCCACTCCGCAGGAGCAGGTCTCGGGCCCGCCATGGTCGGCTTACACTACAAAGCAGGTTTAGGGTTTAGGGTTTAGGGCCCAAAATGGGAGCTACTGCACATAGGGCTTAGGGCTTAAATGGTTTATGGGGTCTTGAGGGGTACGAGTAGGTGTAGGAGTAGGCTCTTTAGGGGTAGGGGTAGTCAAGTTTCCAGGTTGGGGCATCCCCCAAAACGGGAGCTACTGCTTTTAGGGTCTAAGGGTTTGGTGCCGACTTAGAGGGTTTTAGGGTTTAGGGTTTAGGGTTTAGGGACTTAGCAAGTAGCTCTTCTACGGAGCTACGCGAATCATCACCCAATTAGCATCCCTTTTCGGCTGCCTATAGTTACTAAATTTTCCGATCATCCAAGAAGGGTCTAGGGTTTAGGGGCTTGAGGATTTAAGGTTTAAGGTGTTTAGGGTTTACGGTTTAGGGATACCTAAAGGATCATGGGACTTAGTAACTAGCGCTATAGACTAGGTATCTATACTTATGATTACCCAAAACCCCATTTAAGGTATTTCTGGCTTATAAACTTAACTACTAAGTCCCATGACCGTTCCTTATACGGAAACCACATTATTTGCTACAGATCAAGATGATGGGTGGGAGGCCAAAAGGGGGGGTTTAAGATTCTTGGGGTAGGGATTCCTTAATCTGAACCCTATCATGGGAACCCCCTAATCTTTACTAAACCCCCATAAGGTAAAAGCCAGAAAGTTGGAATATGATTATCCTAACCCCTCTATGGTAAATTATAGGGTATCCTACCATTAAACCATATTCCAACTTTCTGGAGTTCCCTGTAGCCCTAAACCCCTTTGGCCGCCTATAACACGAGCCCCAGGATCGGGGCGGAGGATTTCCAGCTCCCGGGCTTTGCCTTTTTTGGGGGGGGGTCAAGGCCTCGAACACGTGGCGCGTCTGGTTCACCGTCTTCTTCAGGTCCTGGGCACTTGAGACTAAAGGGCTTTGGGTTTAGGGGTTTCGGGGTTTAGGGTTTAAGATTTCGGGTGTTGAGGGTTTAGGGAGGTCCTGGGTAGCTGAGGCCTCTTGGGACTTACTAAGTCGGCTATCGTTGGGGCTACAAGTGTCCCAGGTGGGTTTATCCTACGGTAGATGATACAAATCCTGCATTACCTTAAGGAGCCTCAACTATGGGAATAATGGTACATTCCTTATCATGGGTAGTGCAGGATTTATACCATCAACCGTACTTCTAACCTTTCTTATAACCTTGCTTGCTATGTCCCTTGGGCCTTCAAGTAGGCAGAAGTCGTGGTAGGTTAAGGTTTCCTCAAATTTGACGGCTTCTCAGGTCAGTTGTCAAAATTAGGGTCCCTAATTGGGTACCCTTAATATGCATTACAATAGGGACCCCAAAAGGGACCATAATTTTGACAACCACCCACATTGCTTGTCGGGCAAAACTGCGAAGGAGGCTCCTTCACGGGCATGCGGTAAGCAGCCTGAAATCGATCCAGCAGCGTCGTGAGCTTGGCGCTTACAAGCTCTGCGCAGTTTGCCTTGGGCAGAGTCAATTCCCCAGGGTCTAAGAACCAACAGAGAAGACTCTTGCTTCATATTGTGACCGTGAGTATGCATTCATACATACATAAAGCCCTAAACCCTAAACCCCAAACCCCTACACCCTAAACCCCGAAACCCTTCGGATGTCAGGATGTCGGAATTAACACCTTCGGACATGTCAATACACCCTCGAAGTCTTAAAATCTGACACAACCCAATGCAATATGATATAATCTATAGTAGAAGCCAGAAAGTTGGAACATGGCTTTAGGAGGATTAGTGCTAGGACCCTTTATAGTTTACCTTAAGGGTATGAGGACAACTATGTTCCAACTTGCTGGCTATTCTACTATAATATAATCCAATACATCATCTACTGAATGTTGGGATTCGACGAGTTTTTGGAACATCAGGGCGGCCTCGGGGATGAAGGCTTAGGAGAGACCTGGCGCCGATGTGGGAGTTTCCGAAACCTTAGGAGATCCTTTGAGGGTTCCTTAAAGGGATCTATGAGGCTTCCTTGAAGGGAGCTAGAAGGGTTCTATGAAGGGTTTAGGGTTTAGAGTTTCCGAACCTTCAGAGGAAAACTGAACGGTCTTGGGAGTCGGCCGGTTGCAACTGTTGACCATTACGGGAGTTTCTTTAAAAATGGGTACCTTTGCAGGGATTCTTTGAGGGTTCCTTGAAGGGAGCTAGATAGAAGGGTTCTTTACAGGGTCTAGGGTTTAGCGTTTCCGAGAATTCGGGGTATCTTATTTTGGGGGTCCTTCTAATAAGCATCCTATTCTTTAGGGTGCTATATTGGGGCCCCCTATTTTCGGAAACTCCCGAATCTTTAGGACCTTCAGGGCCTTTGGGGTTCAGGGTTTAGGGTTTAGGGCATAAACCCTAAAACCCTAAACCCTGAAGAGTCATTCACAAATCCCTACATCCTACACCTTGAACCCTGAAGGTCGGGGTTGGAATAACTACCAATGCCATCACTTAGGGTTCCTTGCTTTCGCATAAACTTATACACCAAAACCCTGCTCTGATTCTGAAGGCCGCGATGCTAAACCCTTATCGAGCTTTTCGAACAGGAGCCCGTTGAACGGAACCCCCTGTTAAAATGACTAAGGCCACTATGTTAGGATATTGCCTCGTTCATCCGGCATGTAAAAAGCCACGAACCTTGCGGGCAACTCATGACTGCAGGCCAACCGTGCGGTTGCTCCATACCCTAACCTACCAAAACCTATTTGTTGTAGAGCCCCTATCAACTCCGTCTTAGAGCCAGCAATAAGAACCTACAACAAGTAGGTTTTGGTGGTTTAGGGCACTGCTTAGGGTGTAGAATTTACTAACGCGCTAGAGTACTTATGTAGAACTACTTACATAGTAGGGAGGCTGTAATTGATACTTGGTTACTCCATTCTGGAGTACTGAAGCCCCGACCTTGAACTATGTAGGGTCCCTGTGAAGTCTATATTTGGGTTGGGTTCATAATCGAACTTTAAGATCCTCGATTCGAACCCTCGGTCATGCTAACCACCTTAATGCAAATCGAGCCCAGTTTAAACGCAGCCAGCTGCAGGGATGTCGTCCAGCCATTTCACCGTCTGAAACCTGGAAAGCATCGAATGCTAGGGAATTCTCGAAACCCCAGCCTTAAACTACCAAACCTCGCTTTTTGTTGCGAGTTCTTATTGTGAACCCGAGTACGGATTCTAGAGGGAGTCTACAAACAGTAGGTTTTGGTAGGTTGAAGGTGTGTTATGGAATTCCTGTGGGGAGTTCTTCTACGGGTTCCTTTACTTACTCCCCCAATAGCCACAGAAATAAAAGGTTAAACTTTCAGATTACTACTAAAGTATAAGAGCCCCAAAAGTTTAAAAGTTTGGTATTGGAGAACTAAGTTTAAGGATTCCTATGAGGCTTCCCTCAGGGTTGCTTTGACTTATGGGTTCCCAAACAAGGGAACCCAAAACAAAAAGGGCAAAAGTTGGGTACGGCCCCCATACAATAACAGTCTATAATAGGGCTACTATTAAGGGCCTTATATATCTATATTATGACTATTATCCAACTGTTACTGAGTGGGGGCCGTACCCAAGGCAAAAGGGTACTACTGGGGAACCTAGAGAATGAAGAGCTTGAGGCTTGTTCCGGTGCTTGCGGGCTTTTTCCGGGTTTCGGTTGAAGACTTCTCCAATGTCGACTTCACGCCTGCGCGGCTTGAAATCATGCCATGATACGGCTTTGGGCATAATGTACTACACAAGGGGGTGATCTAGAGCCTTGAGCCTCTAGATACGGCCTCCCACCCTACAGTCTCAACTAGAATCACCCTTTAGGTACTTATAATGAGGAACTCCCGCAGTAGTATTGGTAATTAGTTAAGCCCCCCTATGGTACTTGAGGCTGAAGTCAGGGGCTTTGAATTCTGGGGGGGGCTTCCGGATTTGGCTCCCAGCAATCAAGGTTAGCTCTGCTTGTCTTTGTGTGGCGTGGGTACTAATCGGGGTTTTTTAGGGTAGGTGTATCATACTTTCATGACAATAAGGAACCCCCCAAAACAGTATAGGTAATTATTTGAGGTCCCTGTCGTGGGGAATAGCGCTTTTCCTTCGCCGCTTGGGGTGTTCTCCAGAATGGGGGGGAAGGAATTCACACTGAGATGAACTGATTAAGGGTCCAGCGGATCCGGGAAACATAACGAGCCCGCCGTCAGAGTACAGGGCATATTGTGGGTTTAGGGTTTAGGGTGTGGGGGGGGAGATTTCAGCTCACACCAAGGGTGAGATCTTCCTGTTTGTGTGGTCGTTCGGATCCCCCAGTCAAACCTTACACCTAACAACCCTAAACCCTGCAAGCGCTAAAAACTTTGCTGATGGACAGAATCCCGCGTTACCCAGAATAAGGGGTGTATCCACAAGATCCTCAAAGCAATGCAGGATGTTGTCCATCAGTCGCAATATGTCATTCTTCCTTGCAAAGACAGTCTCCTTGCATAAGGACCCTATGTTAGGATCTCAGCCCGCAAACTCTCATTCTAAGTCTTCACTGGCATCCTAATGTAGGGGCCGCCATAGTTACCTATAGTCTTTTAGGGGTTTCTTGTTATACCTTCCGAAGCCCTGTTCACGCCCAGCTTGCACTAGGTATTAAGAGCCTTTCGCTACGGCTGATTCCGAGATTCGGATTGACCGGTGCACGCAGGGTTTTTGCACTTCGAGGGCTCTGGGGGGAGGGGGGGGGGGTAATTCCGTCATGCCCGCAGCTTCACTTGTTGTTCGTTGCGGTAGAGGAACTTCGCGTTATCGGTTTAACCAAGGTGAGGTCAGAGAGGCTAGGTCTTGGGTGAAACAGACAATTAATCCTGAAACAGATTTTCAGCATGAGAGTGTTGTTTCCACCCCCACAAACAAATAAAACCGTAAAGGGGGTTTCAAGGTATGCCTAGGAACATTGACCATTAAACCCTAAACCTTAACAGGCGATGTTGGTAGTTGGAGCCACGGGGGCGAGCGGTCAGGGTCTACAGCTTTGGATTGAAAGTCAGCCGCTAAACCCTAAACCAAAAATGAATGCCAATAAGTTGGGGACTTCCTTGCTTGTTAACAGAATCAGCGGTAGAAAGTTTTAGGGCTTTTCGGTATACATATACATGTATGTATAGGTTTATGTGTATATATATATAGATAGATATATAGGATGGGATGAGTATGGATGAGTTATAGCTTTGTCAGGATTATCATTCATGCGGTGCCACATCTCAGCTTGTTTGGAATGGTTCACGCTAGATACTGCAACGAATGCACTGCATAACGCCGCGTTTCCGCGTCCCACGCTGCTCACACGTGCTGAAACGCTGCGACAAAGCGCAACAAAACGCAAACCAGCAAAAAAAACAGAAAATGGATACACCACAAAAATTAAACAAACACATCGACATCGTAAAATGCCACGACTGCCACGGTCTTGGAAGATACCAGTGTCGATGCCACGCAAGAAGCAGTGCAGCGTGATAAGTAAAATTATAGTTTTGCATTCGCGCCTGCGATTAGCCGTCTGCGTGCCTGCCGCAACCGCTTGCAATCAACTAGTAATTACCGTTTCCTCGGGTTTTTGACACTTCCTGACAAAGCTCCGACCTCCTTGTGTACTCAAAGACCTTCGCGAGCTGGTTTTTGCGACGCGAAATGCTCCTGCACATGTGTCCTGTTCTTTGCCACTGTCTCGATTTCTTCTTGTTCTAGCAACGTACAAAGTGCAAATTCCTCGAGTTTTTGACACTTCCTGACAAAGTTCCGTCCATGAGCAGACCGAACAAAACACACTGGGTTGGCATCTTCGTAGCTTCAAAACACTCTTGCTAGCACGTGCGAAACAGCCATGTTTTATTTTGCTGCATTTCTAAGCAAGAATTGTGTCCTTTCCGCACCCAGAAAAATCAACAAACATGTTGTGTTTGTAGTGGTCTTTACAGCACAAAACGCTTGCCCGTTCTGCCGCGCGAGCGCGCGTGAACAGGGCGTCGGAGCTTTATAAGTTTAGTATACTGGGCCCCAAAACCCTCCTCTACTTATTAAGGCCCCTATATTATATGACTATCTCATTCGTTCTTGCCAAAGAGCTTCTCCTTGCTTAAGGAACCGGCCGCCCCACCAGCTGCAAATTCTTCCGGCACGTCGGGGCAGAAGAGCGAAGATTGAAGCAATGTCTCAGGGTTCAGGGCTTGGGGTGTAGGGTTTGGGGTACAGGTTGTAGCTCATGTATCGGGTTTGGGGCTTAGGGTAGAACTTTCGATACCCTATTCCCCAAACCCCTAAACCATACTGAACTTAGAACCCTAGCAACTATTATAATTTTAGCTGTTTCTTAGGGACTATAATAACCAACAATTGCAAATATTTCTAAGTACCCCTGAGTAAACCCCAAACCCTGTTTGGCAATTAGGACTCGGCGCCTTCGGGGCCTCCAAATTTCAGGCTTCAGTGACTAGAGCTACTAGAGCTCAGTCCTCTGAATGGGGTCGATGCGGCTTTTCTTGAAGTTAGGAGGAACTCATGTACCGCTCTTCCAGGTTTCAAAAACCTGCGTGTCTAGAGCTGCAACTCTTACTGGAAGCCCCTTGATGGCGTATGTCTCGACGCTTCCATTCATTTGTCTTCTAGAGGAATTGGAATACGAGTTGACAATACCAGGACACGGGTTCCAACTTATCAGCGCAGATCCAACGATCGGATTTCGGCTCTTGAAGCTACTCAGAGGGTCGGGGTAGCTAGGCCACAATGATCTGAACTGGGGTTGCCAGACAATGATAGTTGCCTTACCCAGAGGGTCCAAGTACCCAAACAGTAGGGTTTTAGATCCCAAAATCCATACCCTGAATGGTTTTTGGACCTTGAAACCCTACTATTTGGGTACTTGGACCCTTGGGGTTACTTGTAAGCTTTCTTACAAAGCCCCCTGAGCATCTAAGTGCAGGGTTTGCAGAGCTTTCCGGTGCTGAGCTTCCGGGTTTGAGGCTTACAAGGCGCATTGCGCACGTCGACACCTCCAAATCTTTCCGCTTCTGCTCCACGTTCTTCAGTGCACCGTTCCTTGGTCGGAAAGCCCTAGAGACAGCCTAGAGACGCAACGGCCCAAATCCGAAAAGTTGTCACAACCATAGACCACGCACAAACACTGAAACCGAGGAACCCTCTTCGTCCCACTTCGAAACCCGATTGCCCCCAAATCTACACCCAAAATGCTTCCATATTGGGGATGCACTAAAGCTCTGAACCCTATAAACCCCAGACGCCTTAAACTCCTAAAACGCCGAGCCTCTGTTATAAACCTCAAAAATCTGAAACAAAAACTGCCTGGCGAGCCAAGATTCACAAAACTCGCCGTGAGCCCGAGAATTCTGGGGCAGTCGCGCTGCGATGCCACTTTCCTGGATTACCAAGGACTAAGCACAAGACCAACAAAAAGCATAATCCGTGCAGACTTTAGGATTTGAGAATTGCTGTAAGGTAATTCCAGAAACACATGAGCGACGGATTCTTGAAGAAGGGGGGTCTTACGTTCCAAGAACTCGGGGTATCTTGCGCTTTAGGGCTATTGGGCTTCCTCTATAGGCCTCTGGACCGCCCCCAAGCCCCCAAAGCAGAATTGACCAAGGTCCCAAAACGCTTACTTGGAGGTCATGGGACTTAGAAAGTAAGGCCATAAGTACCTTAAATGGGGTTATGGGCTTATTCACCTTGTTTATAGCCCTATAGTTACTAAGTCCCATGATCCTCTAAGTAACCTGGACCCGAAGGAAGGAGGCGAAGGTCCAGACGGCATCGCGCATGATACCAGCCATGGGTGAGTTCCCCGTGGCATTGTGGCCTTAGTTGCTCAGTTCATAGGCCCACAAAAAGTGTACACTTTTAGTTTTATAGTGGGTAATATTATCCCAAAAAGTGTAAAGTGTATCCATTAAGCTACTAAGTGGCACTCATCGAAGATGATAAGTGAAAAGTCCAGCACCTGAGCAAGATGATCATGAGAACATATTCAAGGGAGAATGATTACACCGGCAGTTAGCGGATACAGTAACGGTCACAGATTTCTCGGCGAAGGGCTGTTCGGGAACAGAGCTTTGAAGGATCGAGACATATGGCATTCGCAGCTCGGGATCACGGACAGACTGAGAGCAGACTTAAAAGACCTGATATGTCATGTTCTAACATGAAACTTATACTGTGTTGTCTTGTAGTACCACATAATGTAACAACGTATCAGTATTATACTATACTACACTATGCTATGTTCTGCTATCATACACTACATTTTTGAAAGCGGAAGCTGCGTATTTTGAGTCCAGCGCCTGGATGAAGCCACAGTCCACGAGAGCTCGACGGAAGACCTCCGGCGTGCCAACGAGCACCACATTGTCCTTCAAGCACCTGCCCAAAGGACTCTAAACCCCTAAAGCCCTAAACCCCTTAAACACTAAACCGTAAAAAACCCTACCTAAAACCCTCAACCCCTAAACCCTAAACCGTAAAAAACTAAAACCCTCAACCCCTAAACCCTAAACCGTAAAAACCCTACCTAAAACCCTCAACCCCTAAACCCTAAACCGTAAAAAACCCTACTTCCTAAAACCCTAAACCCCTAAACCCCCGAACCGTAAAAACCCTACTTCCTAAAACCCTAAACCCCTAAACCCCTGAACCCTGACGAAAGGATCCTAAAACCTATCTGCTGCGAGACCCTCATGCAGCTCAAGCACACTGGCGCATCGCAGACAAAAAACGTGTCAGGAGCATACAGAGTTCCTTACTTGGGGCGAGGAGGCAATAGCAGTAGCTGTAGTAGTAGTAGTAGTAGCAGCAGCAGCAGCAGAAGTAGTAGCAAAAGTAGTAGCAGAAGAAGAAGTAGTAGTAGTAGCAGTAGTAGTAGTAGTAGCAGTAGTAGTAGTAGTAGTACTACTACTACTACCAGTAGAACTGGAACTAGTACTTACTAGTTCTAGTACTAGTGCTAGTGTTGTCAGACTTAGAGCCTGCCACAATCTAGGAGAAGTGCTAATTGGAATAGAGTTTTGGGGTATAGTATACTACAAGATAATTACTGCAGTTACTACACTTGCAATAAGGAGCCCCAAAATAATACTGGTAATTTATAGCGACCCGGATATGTACAAAAGAGGCTTCAGTCAACCTGTAAATAAACGTAGTAGGATGCGGGGTTTGGGATTTGGGATTTAGCGTTTAGTTTAGTGCTTTGCTTTAGGCTTTTATGGTAGATTATGCTTCTTCTGCTCCCATGATACAGTGACTGTAAGGGAGCACTATCCTTACTATTACTACGTTGTTCAGGGCCCTTTTTGCGGCTCCACGCACTGCGTCGCCTGCTCCATTCCCTTAGCTGCTCCAATTCACAGAGCATCAGATCTTGGTCTCTTTGAAGTAGAAGCTGGAAAGTTCATTACTCAAAGGGGGAAAGGAGGGACCCTTAATGGGGACCCCTACCCGATAATGGGCTATATACTGGGTATAGAATGGCTATATTAAGGGTATATTACCTAGGGGTCCTTATCAAGGGTCCCTCCTGTTCCCCTTGGAATTACTATACCCCCCCTTAGAACCATAATAAACATCATATCTTCAATATGCTCTAGGGTTTTATAGGAGCAAAAATTAGAAATTAATTCCTAAAGAGACTATAGATTATCCTCATGCCCATAAGGCAAAATAGTTATAGGGAATCAAAGCACTACTCATCCGTAAGCAATGTTTCACCTTCCTGCGACTTAGAGACTTAGAGGGGGATAGGCAGACTCATTGGAGCGATCCTGCTATACTGCTAAGCCCCCCTTAGAGTAGAAGCCAGAAAGTTGGAACCTCATCCTCATTCCCTTGATGTAATGTAGAGGGAATCCTAGCACTAATCATCCTAATCTCATGTTCCAACTTTTTGGTTCACTACAGCCTTTCAGCAGCGCACCGTGAACCCTAAACTAATGCCGGCTTGGGTCATAGGAGTTAGTACATACTGACAAAGAACACGAAGCCTGCAAGGTCGGAGCCACATTTTTCAGATAGAACATGGTCTGCGTTGAAACACAAAGATCAACTGAAGATCAGCCTGGATCCCGCGATACCATGAGTTCTGCATAACTAGTACTACCATGTGGGTGGTTGTCAAAATTATGGTCCCTTTCATGGGTCCTTATGTTAATACGGCACCTAGTATTTAGGGTTACCCACAAAGGGACCCTTATTTTGACAACCACTCACGTAATACTACTCCAAAGAGCTTCCCCCAAAAGAGTTTTTTACCACAACACACCCCAGAACCCTCTTCCAGCGACGGAGGCCCAACGGTAGTTCTCTAATTTGTGGCCCCTTCTTGGGTCCCCAACAAAAAGTACGGCACCCCTATAAGAAGGACCCTAGTTTAGAGAACTACCCAGATTACTCCCAAAGGATGGGACCCAAAATTCAGGCCCTATACTGTATTAAACTATGTTATACTGTATTGTACTATACTATGCTCTACTAGACACCGTCTTATACTATACTATGCTACAGGCAAATACTACACTAGACTATACTATACTGCAGTATACTAAACAGTGCTATACTAAACACAGCAAGGCTCTGCTGGGTCCATGCATCCATCTTCGTCCCCGAGAGTTCGGCGACGCTCCACCGCGTCTCACAGCGCTCCCGGCAGTACTGAGCCTGTTGTTCTGTTGCTGTTTAGGGTTTACCTTAAACTACCAAACCCTACTTTCTGGTAGGTTCTTGTTATCAACCCTAATATGGAATCTAAAGGGACCCTACCAAAAAAAGTAGGTTTGGTAGGTCAAGGTCGGGTTTAGGGTTTAGGGCTACTTAGGCAAGGTAGCCCTAACCCCTAAACCCTAGACAGCGGGTTGCCTTCCGAGCACGGGTCTCTATCAGCGTTTTAATCAAGGGGACAAGGAGGGTCCCTTAATGGGGACCCCTACCCTATAATGGGCTATATAATGGGCCATGGGTATATAATGGCCCTCTTAAGGGTATATACCTAGGGGTCCTTATTAGGGGTCCCTCCTTTGGCCCTTGGATTTAACGTCTTGTGGGGGCCGAGGACTTCTAGCTACGTGTCGGGTATCATGGGGAACTAAAGGTTGACCCTTTTTGGTTATATAAGGATTATATAGGGACTATACTACCCAAAAAGGTTAAAGGTTCCCTACTCTACTACTAAGAGCCCTTTATAGAACCCCCTTTTTTTATCCCTTAAATGGGCCCCTTAAGGGTGCCCTAAGCCCTAAAAGGTTAAAGGTCTGGGATCTGCAAGACTTTGGGGGTTTATACTTGGAGGGTCGGGGGACTTAGTAAGTAGGTAGCAAGTAGACTTATAAGTAGCCTAAAAGGGACCTTAATTGGGGTTATGGTACTTATAAGTCCCTAAAATAACCAGTTACTAAGTCCCCCGACCCTCCAAGTAACCGAAGGCATTGAGACGTCTCTGCAGGATCCAAGGCGCAGGGCCTACGGAGTAAGCCAAGAGAGCGTCTGATCGCCCTGCACCCTGAATCCAAGGGCAAAAGGAGGGACCCTTAATAAGGACCCCTAGGTTTATACCCATAATATAGCCATTATATACCCATTCTATAGCCCATTATAGGGTAGGGGTCCCCATTCAGGGTCCCTCCTTTTCCCCTTTGACTGAATCCTAAACACCAAGCCTTGTTTCCTAGGCTCAAAGGCTCGAGTAGACCCTGGCTGAAGATTTTGGTATGCAGCCGCCCTTGGGTGCAGGGAATTAGGGTCTACCCATAGGCTCCATAGTAGTTCCTTGTTGGGATTACCTTATAGGATTCTATACATGAACCACAAAAAGGAACTGCTCTGGAGCCTCTATGTAGGGCTTAGCTTTACAGATTTGGGAGTTTCCGAAACTTAGGGGTATATTATTTTGGGGTCCTTATAATAAGGATCCTACTATTTAGGGTACTATATTAGGGTCCCCTATTTTCGGAAACTCCCATTTGCTGGCTAATGACAGGGGTTGGGGTTTGGCTCTCCTGGCTTCAGAGCCTCCTGCAACTACCGTTGCCCTGCAAGCAACAGACGGGCCCGAAGCCCCAAACCCCTAAAAGGATGGTTGTCAAAATTATGGTCCCTTCTTGGCTCCCTAATATAATACGGCACCTAATATTTAGGGTACCCAAAAAGGGACCCTAATTTTCACAACTAATAAATTCTCGAAACCCTGCCGAAACCTCTTAAGCCGGCAAGGAAGTACAGTACGGAATAGTTGGGTGAGGGGGAGGTTCTACAAGAAACCTTAAAGCTCCACGCCCGAATGCCCATAGCCCAAGGCCTGCAGATTCCGCACGGCTTTAACACAATACTAAACAACCTAAATAAACCCTAAGCTCTAATCCCAAATCCATAAGTGCTAAACCCTATCCCTAAACTCCTCAAACCCTAAACCCCCTAAGCTCAGAGCCCGCCGAGCGCCTGCTGCTTCACGAGCACGGTGGTGGGGACAACGAACCTAATCTCTTCCGTCATCCATCTACTTAAAGGATCGTGGGACTTAGTAACTAGGGTTAAGGGTCTAGGGTCATCCATCTACATAAAGGATCATGGGACTTAGTAACTAGGGTTATATAAGTTATAAACAAGATCACTTTACATACTTGCCATTACTTATAACCCCATTTAAGGTACTTATAACCTTACTTACGAATTAAGCCCCATGACCCTACGGAGAAGCAAAGGGAAGGCTGTCGGAGGGGTTTCTTTATGGCCTAGTTACCTTTAAATCACGAAACCAGAGAGAAAAAAGAAACAAAATGAACATCCTAGGAACATCACCTTCTTGGCGCCCGGGCGGCTAAGGAAGAAGTCGATGCCCAGCACCTTTGTTTGGAGCCCCTCAACGCCGCAAAGAGCAATTGACACGGGGTTTGGGGTGTAGGGGCTTGAACAAGCCTGATGCTAGGGCTAGGGCTAGGAGTACGCGTTTTAGGGTTCAGGCTTTAACCTCGAATCCCAAAGCCTTGAGGCTTTAAAACCCAAAGACCCATAGGTCCCAGAGTCCTAAACCCAAAAGCCCCTGAGATTTCTTAGACCCAAGCAGGGGTTCATACGAAGTGTTATCATGGAAGGAAACCAAAAAAGGGTTCCTGAGGAACACTCAGGCGCGGCCACCAGGGTTTTGCCTGTGCAGAGCGACTCAAGGAACCGGCTTGGGGCGACTCGAGGTTAAGGTTTGGTGCCCCCTTAAAGAACATTGTGGCTCTCTACTCCATAATAGTAAATAGTTAATTGAAGTTTAGGGTTTAGGGTTTAGGGATGGCTCTCTATTCCATAATCGTAAATATACGGACCTGCCTGGAAGCCGGTATGCTGCATCATGGTGGTACAGCAAACCCCAGACCCTTAACCCCTAAACCCCTAAACCCCGAACCCCTAAACCCTGAACCCCGAAACCCTGAACCACTATACCCTGAATCATGCCTGCTCCTGTAGGCAAGCTGACGATGGTATTTCCAGCTTTGATCTTCTGCACGCATTCTTGCTGGTACGGCCGCGGCTGCATCCTTAAACCTGCGACCCAAAGGGTCCCAAGTACCTATAGGGGGGATACTTACCCAAACCTTGATGGTAATTTAGGGTTTAGGGGTTTAGCCTTTCGGCCCGAGCGCCTTCCAGCGGCTAGGCGGAGCGAGCTAAGTCTCGGGTTCTTTGTCTTTTCAGGGTTCATGGTCTGCTTGGAACCGATCTGGGTGATGCAGCAGGAGGTTGGCTCTCTGGTTCTTTCTATCAAGGACGGGGCTGGGGTTGCCCTGCCTTCGGGATGCCCAGTCTCTTTGGAGGATGAGGATCTTCGACGTGGCCGAGGCCTTGTCTTCTTGGCTGGTGCGGGATTGAGCTTCCGTTCGGGGCCCGCGGTGTCTCTTCTGGCGAATTCTAAGAAGTTTTCATTGGTGCCGAGGCAGGCTCGTGACTTGCAGTTGATCCGAATGATTGGTTCTACAGCTTGGCTTCCCACTTTATTCCCGCCGGATGCAAGTGACATGAGTGAAGTGGTCCCCAAGATCGTGCTTAAAGCTTGCTTGTCCACCATGTGTGGCGTCGGGTTCTTGCAAGGCCAGCCTGTGCATAAAGCAGAAGCCCTTGCTCTACATTTGGCGCAAACTTCGCCGATGGCAGGGCTTGTGGTTGTCGATGTTTCCCCTGAAACCTGTGCCCAAGTTACCATGCAAGGGTGTGACCCGGTTGAGCCAAAGACTCTCCTCGCATGCTCTCTCAGGGCCTGCCATCTGGTACAGTGCCCCGCGCTTATGCTTACTGGCCCAGTGCAGGCTCAGCAGTGGTGCCGCGAGGGTTTGGCTATCTTTCAGGTTGCCACAGGTTTCCATTGTGCCGAGATTCAGCTGTCTCAGGAGGGTGGTTTGTCCGATTGGTGGTGTGTGCTTACGGCCCCAGAGCTGGGTCGTGTGCCCGTCGAGCAAGCCCTTGCTTTCTTGGAGGAGGAAAGGAGCTGTGACGCAGTGGGGGCGCTTAAGACTTGGCACTTTGGCATAATCTGGCGGGTCTGGAAGTGCTTCTTGCAGGGCAGGTCTCAGGCAAAGGTTGCAAATTCTGCGCATCCAGCTGAGGCCCCGAGTGCCTCGCCCACCCATAGTGCGGCTGGTGCCTCTTTGGGGGTTCTTGGGTTTAGTGGGCCGCCGCTAGGTTCCCTTAAGCAGGGTTTTTCCACAGTCGAGCCTTCTATGGCTGCGAGGGAGTGCTCTCTGCGTCTGGGTGATGATGTGATGCCGCTCGCTGACACACCGGTGGTGAAGCGGCCGCGGGTATGTGCCCCGGCTTCCTTTTGGCACGTTCCAGTGGGAGCAGAAGGCCATCTGTCGGTGCTTGATCTTGCCCTGCAGGGCCCTTGCAAGGATGTGCGACCGCCTGAGTCCGGTTCCCTCTCGGAGGCGGTGTTCCTGCTTTTCGCTGTCCAGGAGAACTTGCAGGTGTTGGCCCTTTCGGATTTCGTCATGCCCGGCCAGCAGGTTCATCTTGTTGCTTTTGGGCCCAGGCCAGCTGATTCTGTGTCGGGGCTACCGCCCTTCTCAGTGCCTTCGGTGCCCTTGCATCTGATCTCTTCAGCTGAGCGCCTGCTTGTACTGCGATGGCAAGCGCATTGGATGGCCTCCGATCAGGCTAGCCATGCCTTAGCCTGCATTGCTGACAGGTCCCCTTGGCCTGTGCGGGTCCTTGATCCTCTTGATTTGGGTCGGTGTTGCCAGACGCCTAACTCATCGTGCCTCGGCAGTGCTTTCGTGGATTTCTTCTCAGGTGGAGCCGTGGTGAGTGCACTGGCTGTTGAAGGCCACTGGGTTTCCTTTTGCTGGCAGCTTGGCAGTGGGGTTGCTTCGTCTTGGGCCAGCCTTCCTATGACTGAGCACAAGGGCCCGCTGGTTGATGCTGTTGCCACGGCCAACATGTTGGTAGCTAGGGCCCTTGGGTTGTCGGTTGCCGCTTTCAAGTTTCTTGGTGGCCCGCATCGGCCACATGCTCCGGGCTTTTGTGGGCACTTTGCTATGGCAGATCTGAGTGTTCACTTGGATGGTGAGCCGCCTTTGGATGCTGTTGCTGCTCTTGGCCGGGCATCCTTGTGGGCAGAGTCCTTTGTGGAGGAGACCCAGCAGTCCGGGCAGGTACCTCCTCCATGCATGGTCGCCGGGGTCGTCCCGCCTTTGCTTGAGCATGGGTTGTCGGCTGCTCTTCGTGAAAAGGGGGTTCCGGAAGCGGTTCTTGCCGATAGGGTCAAGGATGCCATTCAGCGTGTCGGCCGGGGCCCTCTACAGAAGGCGTTGCAGGCGCCTCACCAGTGGAGGGAGTTGAAGGCGGTGTGCTCCAATGCTTCTCCGCCGTTTCAGTTGGTGCTGCCCTCCGAACTGCAGGGATTCATTGATACCAAGTTGGCCAATGGCGAGGAGCTTGGTCCACGGCGTAAATCCAAGGGCAAGGTTCCCAAGGCCCAGGCCACGGCTCCTGTGTTGCAGCTCCCCTCCCCGGAGTCGGTCACGGTTGCTCCAGGCGTTTTCGAGCAGGAGGGTACCGCTTTGTCACAGATCCAGCTTCCCGAGATCGGGCCACAGGCTCAGGGAGTTGTTGTTGTGTCGGCTAGTGCTGCTGGCCCCTATCTCCGCATCGACAAGCCGGTTTCCAAGCAGGCCCTTGGGTTGTTGGTCCTTGGCTCTCTGAACCTGTCAGGCACTTCTTTGAAGTCCGAGGTGGTGAGGTTCCAGGCCTCTTGCTCTACTACCCAGGAGCCAGTGCTCTTGACGGCTACCTTGTTGCAGATTGGTGACCGTTTTGTTCAAAAGGTGGCACCGGGCCAGCGCATGACTTTGGACCTTGTCCCGTCTGCTATCCTCCGTTTGGCGGTTTACCGTGACCAGTGGGAGGGCTCTTGGGCTGTCTTTGCACAGAAGCCATTGCGATCTGTCCTTGAGGCTTGCTCTTGCATCCGGACGTGCAGCCAGGTTGGATGCAGTTGCTCATGCTGGCATGGCTCGTCTTCCCCAGGAGTCCCGGAGGCTCTTCTTGAGGTGTGGGGCCGTGGCTTTGTCACCACTTCGTTTAAGCCTTGTGCTCCCGAGGAGGCTGAGGTGTTCAATGCCTTACTGAGGGTTCCTGCTGCCCTGCTACCGGTCCTGTTGGCCTGTTCTGGTGATGCCGGGGTCTACTTTGAGCCCAGAGGAAAGGAGCCTCGTGATCCCTCTTCTGAGTATTCCGTTTTCTGGTTGCCCAAGGCGGACTTCCATGAGGCCTTGGTGTGCAAGCAAACTCACGCCGATGTGCTTGGCGTTGCGCGGGTTGCCCGGCGTTTTGGAGTGCGTTGCGAAAAAGCCAAGGCCGAGGCACTTCACAAAATTCTGCGCCCAGCGGTTCCTTTTATGTGCAAGGATGGTGCCTTGACTTTCCATGCGGGCCCGTGGCCCTTTGGCACACAGCGGTCAACACTGACCAAAGCCTTTCAGGACTGGGGATGGGAGGCGAAGCCCCTTCAACCTATCCCACGGCCATCTGGCAATGGACTTTGGTGGGCCATTCAAGCTTTGAAGCCTCCGCCCCAAGCCGTGCTCCACATCCAGGAGGGCGAGGTATTGATTTCGGAGGTCAAATCCAAGGTTGAGGGCAAGACCCCTTCGGCCCCGACGGTCGTTGCATCCAAGGCTGCCCTGCAGGCAATCAACAACAGAGCAACGAGCTCTACGGACCCTTTGCAGTCGAATGACCCCTGGGCAGCGGCGTTGGGTGCTCGCTCTGCCAAGCTGCCGCAAGCCCAGGCCCCGCCCATCGATGTGCAAGCTATGTCCAAGCAGATTGAGGCCAACCTTCGTACTCAGATTGCCTCTCAGGTTGAGGCTGCTAGCTCCGCCCTCACCGGCCGTGTTGCAGCCCTTGAAACAACTGTGAGTGATGTAGTTGTGCAGGTCAAGGACCAGGAAACTCGCTTGAAAGGTGCCTTTCAGGAGCTCTTTGAACAGCAGACCCAACGCATTGAGGCTCTGCTCGCTAAGCGCCAGCGACAGGAGTGACTCTTGGTTCGCCCGGAGGCCTGGGGGCCCAACCACCGGGGCCGGTCTACAAAACTCCCGAAAAGTAACCCCCCTCTCCCGGCCTGGGAGAGGGGGTTTGCTTGGAGGCATTCTTGGGGTCACAGCACCCACCTGAGGAGGAGTTGTGGGACACCGGCGGTGGTGCTGCAGTGTGCTTCGCTGCCTTTGGGTTCCTTTGATCCTGTGGGTTTCTTGGCCTCGCCTCTTTTGCCCGGGCGAAGGCCCTGGCTGGGACTTCTGAGGTCCGACTTTTCTTTCTTCAGTTGTTTAAGGTGCGGGCTTGGGGTCTTTATGCCCGCCGTTTGCGTTCTGGCTGCCTCCCTTCCGTTCAGGCATGCCGCGGCTTTGGCCGCTTTTCGTTCCTTCCGTTTTGGTGAGGCTGCTCACCCTGGGCCAGTCAATAGCGCGGGCCCGGAGGCTTCTGATTCACAGTTTGTCATTGGGGCCGTTAACCCGACTGGACTTAACGGCAAGCATGGGGTGCTCTCGGATTTGCCACGGGGCTTGTTTGCAATTTCTGAGACACATCTTTCGGCGCGGGGTGTTGAGCTGTTTCGTTCTGGACTCCACTTTGCCAAGTCACACTTCCGGTACGTGGCTGGCCCGCCGGCGCCTGCTAGGGCTCGGAGTCACGTGACTGGTGACTACACGGGTGTGGGCTTCCTCTCGTCTTTCGCCGGCCGCGGTGCCCCACATTCCTTTGAGCCTTCCCTTTTCTCTTCGGCTCGTCTTCAGGTTGCTTCCTTCCTGGTTGGTTCAACTTGGATTTTGGGTGCGGTGGTTTACGGCCTACCGGCGGCACCCAAGGCAACCGAGGTCCTCCTGGAGGCCATTACTCAGCGTGTTGTGTTGCAGGGCACTGGTCCTCGGTTCCTGGCTGGCGATTTTAACTTGGAGCCGCATGCCCTGCATCACGCTTCGGTGTGGGCCGACAATGGCTTTGCTGAGGTTCAGGACTTGTGGCACCAGCGTACTGGCTCGCTTCCACAGGTCACCTGCAAGAATTCTACTCGCAAGGACTATGTCTGGATTTCTGCGGAGCTTCAGCCCCTGTTGCAAAGGGTCGAGGTTGATCCTACGTGGTTCTGTGACCACTCTCTCCTCTCAGCTACTTTCACTGCTGAAGGCTTGCAACAGCCTCTTCCTTTGTGGCGCATGCCCCGGCAGCGTGTGATCCCGGCCCAGGTCGCTCGTCTCATGCAGGATTCCTCGTGCACTCCCCTGCCTGCATCCTCTGATGAGGCTTACCGTGCCATTTGGAACAGGTACGAGGATGCAGCCTCTGAGGCCTTTGTGGCTTGTGGCCAACCGCCGCTTCGGGCTTCTGAGCGAGGCCGTGCTACCACTAGGGATGTGCATGTTGCCTCCCTTTTTCAAGCGGTTGTGCCTAAGGGCCGTCATGGGGAAGTTACTCCGACTTTCTTTGGACCCGATAGACAGTATGTGCAGTGGTTCCGCCAATTGCGACGGGTGCAGGCCCTTTGCCAGGCCTTGCGCAAGACCACTCCCTCGGATGCGGCCTGTGAGTATCGAGCTGGGCTTTGGCACGCTATCCTCAAGGCCCCTGGCTTCAAGCCTTCTTTCCGGCAGTGGTGGCCGACACGTGAGGTCATCGCTTCTGCTGATCCGCTTTGTTTGGGCACTGCTTTGCCCGATCGGGCTTTGGCGGAGGCTATCTTTGCTTCCTTGCAGGCCAATGTTCAGAAGCTGGAACGTCGGCTGAAGAACAGTCGCCAAAAAGCTGCGAAGCAACGGCGGGTTGATAACCCCTCCTTGGTGTTTAAGGATCTCCGCGGGCCTCCTGCCAAGCCGGTTGAGACTGTGGTGGATAAGGTTTCAGCTGTGGTGTCTCAGGTCTTTCCCGAGGAAAGCGCGGTAGCTTTTGCTGAGCCGGTTCGGTGGCGACCCCAGGCCGGGTTCTTTGTGGAGGATTCGCCTTTGACCGTCTTTCACGCGGAGGAGGATAAGCTTTGGGGTGAGGTCTCTCGTGTCACTGTGGGTCAAGTGATTTCCCAGCAGCAAACTATTGCTGACCTTCCTGGCCTCTTCGCTGCTTTTGGTGCCGAATGGTCAAAGCGGTGGATGCGTCACGAACACATCGATGCTGATTGTTGGCAACAGGTTTTGGAAACGTTGCCTGCGCTTTCCTCTGCCTCCCTTGGCCTCCAGGCGCTCACGCCTCCGGTTTGGCGAGCCGCGGTTAAGGCTAAGCACGCTCACTCGGCTACTGGGCCGGATGGGGTTTCTCGCGCGGACCTTCTGGCACTGCCGGATGCCTGCACGCAGGGCTTACTTGACCTTTGCGGGCGGGCTGAGTGTACTGGCGATTGGCCGGCCCAGGTTCTGGATGCGCGGGTCTCGGCCCTGGAAAAGGTTCCTGATGCTGCCACCGTGACGCAGTACCGGCCCATCTGTGTTCTGTCTGTCACATACCGGACGTGGTCCTCACTTCGGGCCAAGGAAGCCCTGCGGCACCTTGCCTCCATCGCCCCTCCCACTCTGTTTGGCAATATGCCTGGGCGATCTGCTGGATGCGTTTGGTACCAAATGCAGTTGGCCATCGAGCAGGCGCATATGGAGGACCAACCTTTGGTCGGTGTGTTGTTGGACTTGTCGAAGGCTTTCAACACCTTGCCTCGACCACCGGTCTTTGCTTTAGCTCTCAAGTTAGGCCTGCCTCGGGAGCTGGTTGTTGCATGGAGCAGTGCCGTCGCTAAGCTGGCACGTCGGTTTCAGATCCGTGGGGCCACTGGGCCTGCTCTCCCCAGCTACACGGGCTTTCCCGAAGGCTGCGCCCTTAGCTGCGTGGCTATGATGCTGGTTGACTTTGCCTTGCATAGGCATGTGGATGCATCGGCCGGTGCGGGTTCCTTAACCACTTTTGTCGATGATTGGCAGTTGATGAACAGGGGTGTCCCGCAGGTTCAGGTTGCCCTTCAGGCGGTTTCGGAGTTTGTTCGGGGCTGGGACTTGGCTATGGATCCTGCTAAGTCGGTCCACTGGGCAACGCGTGCTGAGGACCGGCGCCTGCTTCGCCGCTCTGGAGTCTCTGTTGCTCACTCTGCTCGGAATCTGGGCGGCAACATGGTGTTCACCCGGGCCCGGCGGCTGTCGACGATTTCCGACAGAATTGCCTCTTTGCAGGATCTTTGGCCTCGCCTTGCGGTGTCGCCTTCGCCACTGAAGCAGAAGCTCCTGGCTCTTACGGCCTCTGCTTGGCCCAAAGCTTTGCATGGTGTGTCGGCCACGTCTTTGAGTGATGACACGTTTGCCACCTTGCGGGCCGGTGCTTCTAGGGGTCTGGGGTTCGATAGGCCTGGGCTTAGTTCTAAGGTTCTCTTGAGCTTCTGCTGCTTCCCGTTAGCTGACCCGCAGTTCTTTGCCATTGCTGCGACCTTTCGTGACCTGAGAGCCTTTGCCGAGCCTACTTCTTTTGTTCCGGTTGTTGAGCACCTGCTGTCCCTCAGCAAATGGCCCCCGGGCCCAGCTCAAGCTTTCTTGGAACGATGTCATGCTCTCGGCTGGGCCTGGTGTCCTGATGGCCATTGCTTGCGAGATGCTATCTCGACCTTTGACCCATGGCAGGTCAGCCCACAGGAGCTGATGCACCGCCTGGTGTATGCATGGCAGTTTCGGGTTGGTTCGGAGTTGGAGTCTCGCTCGGGTTTTTCGGGGATGTCCAGGGTTGATGCCGCCTTGACTAATCGCCTACTCAAGGGTTGGAAGGACGAGGATCGGCTCAATGTGATGCTGGCCCAAGCTGGAGCCTTCTTCACGCAAGATGCCTTGCACCACTTCAGCCAGGACCCTGCGGATTCTTTGCATTGTCGCTTTTGCCGTCAGCCGGATAGTGTGCAGCATCGGCTTTGGTACTGTAGCGCCTTTGAAGACTGCCGGGCCCAATGTTCTGCCTTCGAGCTACCGGATCCTGCGACTGATCTGCCGGTGCAGTTTTTACGTGGCTGGGCTTTGCGACCGGCCAAACAGCTTGAACTCTGGCAGGCTTTGGCTGCAATTGACGACAGGAGTGGTCAGTTTGATTTGCCGGCTTCTCTTCCTGCACGACTGGATGTCTTTACGGACGGCTCTTGCCTTTTACCCACAGTTCCTCAGCTTCGTCTGGCGTCGTGGTCTGTGGTCCTGGCTGCGGATTCTACGGTACGGCCTTGGGTCCTGGCGGCAGGTGCTCTGCCTGGCATAGTCCAGACAGCTTTTCGGGCGGAGATCTTTGCGGTCCTGTCAGCCTTGAAGCTGGCTCTGCAGACTGGGCGCGCCGTTCGTATCTGGTCTGACTGCGCGGGGGTGGTCCGGAAACTGACTCGAATGGGTTCTGGCCTGATTTCTTTGAGGCCGTCTATGCTCAACTTTGACCTCTGGCAGCAAGTTGCTGATGTCCTGGCCAGGCTCACGGTTCCCTGGACTGTCCACAAGGTTGCGGCTCACGTTGACGCCGATGCGTCTCTTTCGGCTGTGGATGACTGGCTTATTCACAATAATGCTGCTGCGGATGCTGCTGCTGACAAGGCCAATGCTCAACGGTCGGATTTTTTCTGGGCGTTGTGGAATGATGTCAGGCGGGACTTCACTCTGCAGGAACTCAAAGCGACCGCGGCCCTGCGGCATCAGCGTTTGGTTGCGGCCAAGGCTACGGCTGGTAAGGATACATTGTGGGAGGACAAGGCAGTTGGCGCCGCCACCGCGGTCCCTGTGATTCATGCCTTGTCTGAGCCTTTGCCGAGGGCTTTGCTGAAGTTCGGGGACCCATTTGTTTTGGCCATTTCGCAATGGTTGGTGGGATTGACTGAGCTTCCTCAGCATGCAGTGCAGTGGTATTCTTTCGCTCAGCTGTATTTGGCTTTTTGCTTTGAGACCCACATTGTGCCTCCAGTCTGGGATGCTGGCACGCGTCGCTGGGTGCATGTATCCGACGAGGAGCCACGACTTGCCGGCATTTCCTTTGCCATTCGCGCTCGCTACTTTCGACAACAGGTCAGGGCCGTTGTCTCTCATGGTCGTGGGCGTCTCCTTACGGCAGAAGCGCGACCTTACTCGGTGGCTCTGGCGATCAAGTTACCCGTGTGCAGTATTGGCCTGCGCTCCGACTGCTATGAGCAGGTTGAGAGGTTCTTGTTTCAAGCGCTTCCAAAGGGAGTGTGCGCTCAAAACGAGCGTACTTGGACAAGAGTGCCCATTCCCCGGATCGGCTAGGGCTTTGAAGTCTGTGCCGAGGGTGGTTTCCGCTGCAGCTGAGACTTCCCGCATCCCGAAAGGTGCCGAAAGGGTTTAGGGGTTTAAGGGTACTTCCTACGAACTAAAGAAACCCTACGTCACACGCTGTAGGTACTGTACTTAGAACCCTGTCGGGTGATTGGAGTTTAGGGTTTGGGGTTGAGCTTGCTAAAGGCCCACAGAGTCTCTGCTGGGCGATGTAATCCTCACACCCAAAGTTACGTCTAGTTCTTTTCGTCTGCAACCTTAGTAAGGCTTTGTTGTTAAAGGCTGCGCCTCGTATCACAAGACCGTCTCCGCTATGGTTACCATTATTCCTAAGGGTCCATGTACCCAAATAGTATATACTTTGGCCTTACAGTACTCCCTATAAGGGTGCATTGGGCCCAGAATATATACTATTTGGGTACATGGACCCTTGGGGTATAAACCTTGCATCCTGAATGGCCCTAAACCCTACGGGTGAAAGAGCAAAGGCAGCTGCGGCATAGTCGTCGGGGGCTTGCAGTGTCAGTGTCCAGTGCTTCAGGCTTTCACTAAGCCCTCGCTCGAAACCACAACAACCCTCATTCCATGACCTAAATCCTGAACTTGGAGATAGAGTGGGTTTAGCGTGCAGTTTCACTGTTGCTGCGTGGAGGTCGCTGGGAACCCTAAACCATAGAAGCCTAGTAAACAAATACCGATGTTATTCTTCGGGTTCCTGATTATACCTGTACTATACAGAAGCCCGAAGCCCTGTTCTAATTATAAAGGCCCCTGCGAGGCCCTACATTGTTTGGTCTCATAAATGCAAATACTTCTCAGAGGCCGAAAACGGACCGATGTGTTTTTGTTGTGGTTGTGGTATCCTTGCCTTAAACTAGGTACCGCTTTGGTTGTTTGATCTAGAGCCCCAAGTATCACCAGTGTTGGGCACTGTTGGATTCGACACCTAGAAAAAGTTTAGATAGCCTAGGATTTTGGGTGGGGTTTAGCTTAGGGCTTCAGCAGGTCCCTCCGCAAAGCCCAGATGCGAGCTTCAGGTTTAGGGTTTAGGGCTTAGGGATGGTAGTATATGTAGACCCTCCGGGTACTGTTCCCACGTTACACTCAACCAAAAAAGCCATGCTCCAGGAACCCTCCCTAAGGAACCCTACCTCCTGGTTTTGTAGGTGTTGCAGTCTCAAAACTCCAATACTCGGACTGGTATCACAGGCCTTGAAAAAGCTTGTGTGCCCTTGGGTCCAACACAAACATAATATTGAAATAATTCCTCGGGCTTTTATTATGGACACCCCCCCCTCAAGCCCGAATACAAGCAGGCACAAGTCCTAACAACACCAAGGACGAGGGCATTGGGTTCCCTAGGACTGCACGACTTTGGTTTCTTCCCTTGGGGCGAAGCCTGCCTTTAGCAGGAATCGACATCTGCAACAGTTTAGGGTTCAGGTTGCAGGGTTTGTTGTGGATTTGGGGCAGCGAGTTCAGCTACGAATGTTCTAGCTTGTTAAGGTATATGGGTGGTTGTCAAAAACTATAGTCCGTTTTGGGGTCCCTAGTAGAATGCGGCACTTAATATGTACCCATATCCTTTAATGCAGCTGCCATGTTCGGGAAGCCCTGAGATGCAGTATGGACCTCCAGAATCAGATACATTCACAGGGGAAAAGGAGGGACCCTTAATGGAAACCCCTACCCTATAATGCGCTATATAATGGGTATATAATAGCTATATTAACGGTATATACCTAGGGGTCCTTGTTAAGGGTCCCTCCTTTTACCCTTGGACATATACTACAAAAAACCATAAAGTATTTGCTTGATAAGGTTGCTGCTTATTATGTCCGTTTAGGGTGCCGGAGTACGGTTGAGAGTGTAGGATTTGACATACAGAGTCAAGGATTACTCAGTTGGCCCTGAAATGGCTTCATTAGCCTTCTGCCATCTTTGGGTGCATTCTGCGCCTCCCAGCATTCTACACAGAAGCCCTAGGCCTACACGAGACCGTCTTATGTCGATCCGAGTCCCCAAGCCTTGCAACGATGTGGTTTAGGCCCGTAACAACAATAGGCGTTTGCAGGAAATTACCTCCAAAGTGTACTGTGATATGCGATTGACCCAAGGTACATAATACAGGGGCCTTAATAATCAGAATAGATTCTGTGGGGCCCGATACACTATATCTATATTAAGGAGCCCCCAAAGGATTATAGGCATTTATCTAGTTCATGGTCGGGATAGGATTTAAAGTGTACATGTTTATTCCTTATTGGTTTTAAGTACCCATAAACATGTGAACTGTTACCCAACTATGACAGAGTTATTAAGGCCCCTATTGTATAGTCACAACAAAAATATGGAAGCTCTAAGCCCCCCCAGGCCCCGGGAGCCTAAACCGTAAACACCAGACCCTAAACGGCCCTAAACCCTAAACCCTCAACCCTTACCCCTAAACCCCAAACCCCCAACCCCGAACCCTGAACCCTGAACCCTAAATAGGGCCCAAAAAAAGCACATAAGCAAAAATTATGATAGGGCTATCCCATATGAATCCCCTTATAATGAAGCCCAATAAGGTAGGGATATCCCCATATAATGCTTATGCTTATCTGCTTTTGGGGACCCCAACTAAACCCTAAACCCCACCCAAACCCTTTCTCCATCCTTTGGAACGAAACTCCTTGAAGCTCACAGAGCGGCAAAGGGCGGCAGGGTTTACCTACCCAAAGGGTATATGTACTGTTATGGGGTTACTTCCCTAAGTCATAATAGTAATACCTAATATGGAAACCCTACATTCTACTATATCGCTACATAGGATCCCCTGGGTTAATTGCTGAGTTCATAGGCCCCCCAAAACTGCACACTTTTAGCTTTATAGTGGGTAATACTATCCCAAAAAGTGTAAAGTGTATCCACTCAGCCATTAAGTTTAGGGAGAGAGCCCTTTTTTCCTCCGAGCACTTGTCTTAGTTGGCGCTTAATCTAAACCCAAGACTAACCTAGGAATAAAAAGGGTACCCTTTTTGGTTCAACGTCGACCCCCCAAAAAGGAATCAGGGCCTACTCTGGTCCTAGTAATGGATTCGGGGGTTTAGAGTTCAGGGTGTAGGCGGCAAAGGGAGGCACGGCACTTGGCAGATTTGGTGAGACCGAGTACCGGGAGCTTGCTGAACGCCCCGGAAGGTAAAAAATGAAAGAGGGCTCTTTGACGTCGGAAATAGTCAGAATTTCGTAGAGTGCGGCAGATGATGAATATGAGTTGTTGGCATGCTAAAGAGAATCCTCCCAGGTCTTGAGAGAGAGGCCGCAACCCAAAACACTAAACCGTAGCCAAACCCGATTCGTTGGTAGAGGCATCAATGAGGCTTGTATCTTAAAGATTTGGGATTGCATGCCTGAAGATGTCCAAAATGCGGCACCCGCTACCATGTCGCAAGCTTGGTTCGCAACACCAAACACCCCTGCAAACCCTTAGACCCTTATAGACCCTTGGCCCTAAAACCCTTTTAACCCTATTATAGACCCCAAAAAACACCAAACAAACCCTAAGCCCCGATTATGAACCCCAAACCACCCACCCCCCCCCCAAAAAAAAAATAAATAAAACAATAATAATAATAACAATAATAACAATAATAACAATAATAAGCCCCTCTTATAAGATCTTATAAGCCCCTACAAACCACCAAAACCCGCAGCGCGGAGCCCTCAGCCACCATCCAGGCGAGACATGCTCCGCCCCATCATACGACCCCGAGCCTCGGCTGGTGTAGGGGTCTTATTTTGAGGGCTTAGGGGTTTTAGGGCTTGGGGTTTTAGGGTTTTGGGGTTTTGGGGTTTTAGGGTTTTGGGGTTTTGGGGTTTTAGGGCTTGGGGTTTTAGGGTTTTAGGGCTTGGGGTTTTAGGGTTTTAGGGTTTTGGGGCTTGGGGTTTTAGGGTTTTGGGGTTTCAGGGTTGAGGGTTTGAGGGTTTAGGGTTTGGGTTTAGGGTTTCAACCTAAACCCTAAACCCTAAACCTTAACTTCATGATCCTTGGTCTGCTGGGGTCTTCGTCTGAATTCGGGCTGGGTAAAGGAATCAGTTTCCGTCGTGGAATTTGGCCCGGCAGGTTTTCGGTTGAGGGTTTCATGCAGTGGCCTTAATAATACGAATACAGTAGAAGCCAGAAAGTTGGAATATCATTATCGTAACCCCTTTCAGGTAAATTATAGGGGATCCTATCATTAATCCATATTCCAACTTTCTGGAGTTCCCTTTAGGGTTTTGGGGCACCTTATTATCTTTATTAAAGGTATAGTGTAGGGGACTTAATAATCAGAATAGGTTTCGGGGTTCCTTATTCTAAATATGTTATAGTATAGTGTAGCGGCCTTAATAAACAAAATAGGGTCCTGGGAGTTCCTTATTATGATTATGGTATAATATACCCCCGAAGCCTATTCTGATTATTAGAGCCCCCTACAGTACTGTTCAGAAGTTGTTCCTGAGGGGGAGGATACCGTCCCTCAGCCCTAAACCTTCAGCGGGGAGGATACTCTCCGCTTTACTCACAGACCGCCTGACGATTGCAAAAAGGCTACCCCTGAACCCCTAAAGCACTAAAGCCATGAGCCCGCAACCCCAGGTCCCACAGCTCCAAACCCTGGAGGTTCAAGTAGCTGCGTATGCAAGGGTATATGTACCCAGTTGGGGCTGGAAGTAGTTCTCCCTCAACCCTGAACCTTACTTGGAACCCCATTTATTAAGTTCCCTGATGCACTACCCTAGTAGACCCCAAACTTGACACCCGACTTACCAACTTCCCTGCCTGATCCTTCAAATGTAGACCCCTGAAGCCCTTGGGACCAAAACCGAAACCCTAAAAGCTGGGTTTAGGTGTTCAGGGCTTTTCGAGGTTTAGGGTCTAGGGATTAGGGTCTAGGGTTAAGCCTTAAAATAAGGTTTGAGCGATTACAACTTCTTGAATCCTCCGAAAGCCACGACAACCAAGCGCC